ATTTTGAATCCACTGGTTTCGAAATAAAATTATAAAATCGATCCAAAAACCAACTGCGGTTTGAATTGACCGGTTTGACTGGTTTGAACCAATCCATGCACACCCTTAATTATTAGTACTACGTGTCTATGACTTTGTAATGTTGAGGGTTACATGTTTCTACTGATGTTCCATTTTACTAACAAGTTTAAGAATTTCTTAATTTACTACTCCAAAAGGGTAAATGAGATTGTCTTTTGTGGGAAAGAGATGCTTCACTCTGGGCCGGTGCCAAAAGAGATTGCAAGACATGGAGATGGAACAGTTTAAATGGTCATTCTTTGAGGTTTCCTAAATGATACGGTCATATTTATGGAATCTAGATTATTCATTCACCCACAATCGTTTCAGTTCAGCTTTCAAACCCCGGGTTCAGAAAATCAAGCTTCTAAATGATCATTTGTTAAAATCTTAGCCATGTTGATCTAAACTTCCTCTTTTGTATAGGCATTCGAGGACTAGCTCCCTGAATGTAATAGATAGGCTGTTGTAAATGTGCAGACCTTTCTTTTGGCCTTAATATATAGTTTTGCTGTTTACCCAAAAAAAAAAAAATGATCATTTTCTTTTCTTTTTTCTTTCTGGATCCAATCCATCATCTCAACTTGATCTTATATGTGTATTATGACGAAATGGAAGAGAAATGATCAGTGGAAATAATTGGGAGATGAAAAGAAAAAGTATGCATATTTCATAAAACAGAGTTACCAAGAATTATGTCAGCCGATCTTCCAAATGCATCTGCTCTATTGCTTTGCTTGACAGCTCGATCTCTACATATACTAGACTTAATTGACATATACTCCCTCTCTCTACATATACTAGACTTAATTGACATATACTCCCTCTCTCCCAGAAATGGACTGTTTTTCTGGAACAAAACTAAGATATTGGAATCATGTAGCATATATAACAAAGTTTTAGTTGTAGAGAATATAGTTTTTTTTTTCAAAATTATAATCTAGTTTGGATTTTCACTTTCATTTTAATTTGTACTAAAAATGAAATTATAAATTGGACAATAAATTTGGGACGGAGAGAGTATTAGTTAAGTATGTATATGAGAGTTTTCAAACAAGTTTGACATGATTTCTTATCTACTTCTGAACCACTAGGCAAATGGATTGACCTGAATGTACAGACACGAAAAGTAAAATGTAAAAAGCCACGACAAAGATTCCTCAAGAGCCATTATAGTAACATCAAATATGATATCATATTAGAACTACCATATTTATCTACTTAATTATTAGTTACAATGATCTGATCATGAAAACCATGAACTTAATAAGAACAGTGTATCTCTTCAATTTCTAAAGTGACTGATCTGCAAAGGGGCTGTGTGGACTCCTCGGAAGAACTGTTTTGGAGTTGAAGAGGCGAATCTACAGGATACAAAAATGGCTTTGGAGGCAATTGGAGTCCTTCAATATCGCCTTCAAGCATTTCTATTACTCGTCTCATTGATGGTCTTTCAGCGGGCGACATTTGTATGCACCACAACCCAATCAATGCCAATTTTCTGGCAATCAGTTTTTCAATCTCACTTAAAGCATCATCACCTCCTAGGATATCTTTAAGCCCTTCATTTCGATCAAATTTATCATATATCCAGGAGGTGAAGTACATTTGGCTTGAATGGTCAGCGTTAGGATTAACATTGAACTTTTTCCACCGTCCAACCATATCCATAAGCAACTTTCCGAAACTATACACATCCGCCTTGTAAGAGACTCTTCCGATGTTTTTGTAGATCAGTTCGGGTGCTATGTAGCCTATTGTTCCTCTGATGGCAGTAAGAGATGCAACATAGTTACCTTCTTGTGAGGGATACAATTTAGCAAGTCCAAAGTCGGAAACTTTTGGAATGAAGTTCTCATCAAGAAGAATGTTCTGAGGTTTAATATCAAAATGCAGAATTTGCATATTGCATCCTTGATGCAAGTACTCCATTCCTTGTGCGACTCCCATTGCAATCTCATATGCTTTTTTCCAACTGATCATGAGTGACATGGAACCATTTTCATTGGTACCTGATGAGAAAATGAACTTATCTAGAGAGCCATTGGGCATGTACTCGTAGACTAGAGCGCGCTCTGAAGAGGTTATGCAAAATCCCACTAATCGCACAACGTTCACATGGCAAATACTCCCAATAGTTGCTACTTCATTGATAAATTCTTGCCCATTGGTTTTTGATTTGTTCAACATCTTGACGGCAACTAAGTTTCCACTTGGCAGTTTACCTTTGTAAACAGTACCATACCCTCCTTGCCCTAATTTCTCCACAAAACTGTTGGTCATGGTCTTTATATCTTTATAGGAGTACCTGATTGGCATAAGGCCATTGTTTTCTTTCAAGAAATCTTCCACCGAATCATAAATAGACAAGTGCCTTCGATGCCATTTGTAAATTATGAACGCTATCAGGAGCACGACGCCAATTATATTTCTTGTCATGCATGCTAAAACTGCAACAAAGTTAAGAGATTAACAGACAATAAAACTTCAGAAAAACAATTGCTTTCCATTTCATCCCTCGTCCTGGGATACTAAATGCGACAAGAAGGAAATTTGACAACTTACCTAAAACCTGGAGTCCTCTAGCCTCAGCCCCTATCAAAAGAAGAAGTGGAAAAGATTATGGAATGTCAAGAGAAAGAAACTGTTATTTGAGGTCCCTTCGAATTAATTGTTGCCTCATGTTTTGATTGGCATACTTTTTTTATCTGAAAAACCTTCAGGCTTTAGTTCTTTGTAACTCATATCTCTTCTTTTCGCATGCTTTTGAATTGTTGATTCCAGCTAACAAATTTTCATCCGAATTCTGATATTTTAGTACCGGTCTTAAATAAGTTGGTTCGGTAATTAATGAAATTAAGTTTGACTGAGACATACTTGCTGATCAGTATAATGGAAGAACCAATGTATTGCAAATTTGCAATAAACATAAATGTAGGAGTCATCAGTTTACTCACGCCCAATCCGAGAGGATCTCTGCCAGATGGAAGTAATGATGTCCTGTAATCCAGCCAGTGTTGCTACAAGGTGGCCTATAGTGTGTTGTCCAAGAGCAGAAAACTACATTAGTGAACCAAAATGACAACAAACGAAAAGGAAAGAAAAATTCAGAATTCTATTAATTTGATGAACAAACTCACACCAAAATGGCTTCCTCAAGATCAACTGATCCCGGCCAGAAAGATTCCATCTCCACTGGAGCAGAAAGCCTTTAGTTAATATATTGTGCATGCGTTCAAGGGTAACATTTTCCACTGCTTGGCTGAGGAGGGACTCATCGTCACTAATCTGTGCAGCAACAATATTATAGACGGTGCATGAGTCTGGAATATCGGAAGGAAGGAGATTGCGACCAACCACAACATAACTATAAGAACTCTGCTGCTGGTTACTACTACTGCTATTGGTGGTGTTGGCAAATGGCCAAGCACAAGATGCTGTGCCTACTAAAGGAAGAATCATGGAGTTTGAACCACCAGAATCCTTCACTGGGCTATTACAGCTCACAAACACCAGCTCATCCGCCTCAGCACTTACATCCAAATGCAGAGATATGTCTGTACCATTCATCGTGTGATCATCATAAGATGAATGCTCGAAGTTGTGAGACAAGGAACAATTGTTTTCAGGTAAGCCGTGATCAATGACACGAATCATTTGATTTTCATAGCTGACACTGTCTACATCAACATAGTAGTACTCTTCGGGATTAGCATACAGTATCGTGCGGTTCTGCTTACAATAAAATGTGAAATGAGGATACCTGCAGGAGACATGATCACCTTCAAACAGAAAAGGGAACTTCAAATTTTGGTTAGAATCCCCACAGTTGTGTTGGCTATCCTCACAGGTAAGTTTTTCAAATGCAGGATCATAATAGCAACTCCTAGCTTCCAGATCAAAGTGGATGAACCAGGACACTAAGAAATACACCAAGAGAAAGCTTGACAAAAGAGCCAAGATCTGCAGTGGAAACATGATCAGTCAAGCTGAGTGAGGGGAGAGAAAGAGTCTTAATTCTCAAAATATTTCAAGGCCACAAAACACAAGTATTCTCGTTGATCATTTTTCCACAAAACACACGCTTTTAAATTTCAAAGTAAACAGTCAATGGGGGATCAAAAGTCGTCCAAATTGCTTTCTAGCATGATTGGACCATCCGGCTCCACCTACCAACTTGTCTTATTTTCTGGATGAGAGCTGAAAATTATATGTTCAGCTCTTAAATGTTTCATCTACCCAACATTCTCCAAACAAAAAAAATAGAAAAAAAAAGATTTTTTTTTTTTTTTTAAAAAGCAAATGAGGATGACCAGAAGATTGATGAGTTTGAGTTTCTTTTTCAGTCTGCTAATGATCCTTGCTGCAGGAAACCAACAAAGTACTGCAAACGTGTGTGGTGAAAAGCAGTGCAGCCCTCATGGCCCAAAAGTAAGGTTCCCATTTGTGCTCCATGGAGAACAGCCTGAGCACTGTGGTTCTAATATTTCGAGCTTCAATCTTTATTGCGACAATCGGAGCCGCACTATACTTCAGCTACCTTCCTACAAAGAAGTTGAGGTTACCACAATATCCTACTTGTCTCAAATGCTGGAAGTTCGACCTCTCGAGTCTTGCCTCGGATTGAACCTGAGATATATAGACATATCCACCACCCCTTTTTGGCATGGCAATTCAAACAAAGACTACAAAGTTGAACAGTACTCTTTATTTACTTGCAAGACCTTTACTCACTCAGAAGGTATTGACTTTGATTGGAATGGGGACTTAAATGCGGTAGAAACGGGTTGTTTGGAATCCAACAGCGAGTACACAATTTATGCATTCAGGAAAAGTCGAAGGATTCGATATGTGGCAGAATTTTTGAGATCTTGTACTAAAATGTATGAAACTATGTGGGATGGTTCCAAACTGAGCTGGTCTTTGCCCCTGTGTGCGAGGTGTGAGGAACAAGGTGGAATTTGCGGATGGCAGAGTGGAAGTACCAATAGAATTGGCTGCTTGGGAGGAAAGAAACACCAATCAGGTATGTATTATACTCCTTCTGTCGCCAAGAAAATAGTCCACATAGAGTTTTGAGATTTGTACTAAAAATAGTACAAATCAAAGTTAATGTTAAGAATTTTGCTTAATTGTATGGAAGTGATCGATTCATCAAGTGCCAAGTGTGCAAAATTGATTAGTAGTCTTAACAATTGCAGTTTCCAACTTCTGTTAAGTTGATGTGTTGAGATTAAGTGGCTAAATTCCTGTGTCTATTTCAAAATTTTAACAAATTTCCTGACTTGTAAACTTATGTTACAGGAACGTTGAAGAAACTAGAAATTTCTGGTTAGTTCAATATGAATTTGTATCTAGTTTGAAACCATATAAGGATATATATAAGCGATCTGATATCACTTTTTGCATTAATCAACAGGTTCAATCATTGGATGTTTGTTTCTCATCCTTGGTACCAGCGCAATGTACTTTTCCCATTCCAAAAAGACACTAAACAGAGAAGATCAGATTAGGTTAAGGAAGTTCTTGGAAGACTATAGGGCAATGAAACCCACGCGATACTCATTTGCTGACATTAAGAAAATTACAAATGACTTTAAGGATAAACTTGGTGAAGGAGGTTGCGGAAATGTCTACAAAGGAAAGGTTTCAAATAAGATATATGTTGCTGTGAAACTGTTACATGATTCCGCCGAAAATGGGGAAGAATTCATCAATGAAGTTGGGACAATGGCAAGAATACACCACGTGAATGTAGTTCGCCTGTTAGGCTTTTGTGCTGATGGATACAATAAAGTACTTGTTTATGAGTTCCTACCAAATGGTTCTCTTGACAAGTTCATATTCCCAAATGGCAAAGACCAACAAGCACTAGGAATGGAGAGGTTGCTGGATATTGCTATCGGAATAGCTCGAGGAATCAATTATCTTCATCAAGGATGCGAGCAAAGAATCCTGCATTTCGACATCAAACCGCATAACATATTGCTGGACAAGAACTATAACCCCAAGATATCTGATTTTGGGTTAGCCAAGTTGTGTGAAAAGGGAAAAAGTGCAGTTTCCATGACGGCTGCTCGCGGAACAATGGGATACATTGCGCCAGAAGTCTTCTCAAGATACTTTGGGACTGTTTCATTTAAATCTGATATTTATAGTTTTGGGATGTTGTTGCTTGAAATGGTTGGAAGGCGAAAGAACACCGAAAACAATGCTGAAAACATTAGTCAGGTGTACTTCCCCGAATGGATTTATGGACGCCTTGGCAGAGGAGAAGATCTAAGAATCCAAGTTGATGATGAGGAAGATGGAGAGGACCATATTATTGCTAAGAAATTGGCAATTGTGGGACTTTGGTGCATCCAGTGGAACCCGGTGAATCGCCCTTCGATCACAGTTGTGCTTCAAATGCTTGAAGGAATTGCTGAAAACCTGACTCTTCCACCAAATCCATTTGCCTCCGACAAGGTAGTGAATCCAGGTGATCCAACAACACCACCTTGTGTTTCAACATTGAGAGCTACCCGAACCCGAATAAGTTCCTTCATGAATTTCAATTTGTAAAGCTAGATCAAATAAGAAATAAGCTGTAATGGTTAGCATCATATTCCCATGCTTATGAAACTCGATATCTCAAACAATGGCATTCACTAACATTATTCACCAAGACCAAGACTAAATCAAACTAATTCTAAAGAAATGAGGTCAATCAAGTTATTTCGATCCAAGCAAACCCACGATCATTCAAGTTTAGGACACGACATTTACTCAAGTCAATGACACGACATTTAATAAATTACGTCCAAGTCACAACATCAAATCAACCTCGTTGAATATATTCATCTGCTGTAGTTGCTAAGTCACACAAAAAAGGTGTACCAAGTCAATCAGGTCACATAATGCTAGCGGCCGGGCTCAAAAGTAATAAGGCAACTCAAGTCAATCAAATCACATATTATAGCTAGTCGAACAGGTCAATTACCAGAGTGCACCGGGACAATAAATTCAATAGGCATTAATTTCTATATGCCATTCAATTCGTAGAGATAATAAGATTCAACCAATATACTTCCTCTGATCCTTAATATAATTTACATTAAGTTTTCATATTTTTATTGTTTTTAGTACAAACTCTAACCTCAATGTGGCTTTAAACCTCAACATGGACTTTGTTTTTAGTATAAAACTCCAACCTCAATATGGACTTTTTTTGGGATAAAAGGAGTATTTTTTTTTTTATGTTATTATATTGTGATTTTTTTTATTTTAAAAATATTGAATTAGAGTTACCAAAAGTGCCTCAGTGACTTGATCCAGAATTGGTAAATCTGATAACCCAAAAATATAAAGTAAAAAAGGACTAATTAGACCAAATAAAATTTTTTGGCAAATGTAAAAGGCCATTTGAGTACTTTATTCTAATTAAAAATATTTAAAGGTTTATAATTAGGGAAATATGGATTCAATGGTATTTTTGACCGTTTACACAAAATCGATGATGGTGTTACTATGTTAAGGATGAAGTAAGGGGATATTTCGTAGTATTATCTAAAGTCGGGGCATTTATCATAAATCTATCCAAAACTCGGGGAGTAAAATGCAATCTATGATAAAACTTTTGATTTAGTTTTATGGACCAGATACACTTTTCGTCCCCCAGTTATTGACGGTAGCAAGATCGAGTCCCCATCTATTTTCAATTGACAAAAACAATCCCCTCAAATGTTTTTCTCGTCAATTTTAGTTAATTTAACAGAAATTTTCTAAAACTAACGGGAGAATGCACGTTCCGTCAATTTCACTTATTATATTCATTTATCTACTGTTTGTGGGACCCACAGTTTGACCAGCCAAAAAAATTAAAAAAAAAATGAAATAAACAAAAGAGGAACAAAAACGGCTTCTCTCATTCCAGAATCCAAAATTTCACTTTCCTTATAACTTCCAAGGCAAAAAAGAGTCGACTTTCACATATGCTATCCAAAAACCCTAGATCAAAGAGAAACCACCAAATCTGTTAAATTTAACCCAAATAACCGACAGGGTTTCTGAAGCGAATCATTACGGAGGGAATTCCAGAATTGTTGCTAGCTTTTGTGGATGTCGAGATTGAGAGAGCAGAGGCATAACAATGACCCAGTTCCTAACTATGGTATGATCTTCTCCATTTCAGTGTTGATGGTATTTTTTAGCAAAGATCTGCTTGTTTTTCGATGTGAATGTGTGAAAAGTACAACCCTTTATGTAAATACGTGTTTAAAATGTGGGACTGAGGGTTAGAATTTCGGTTTTTGGTTGATTTGTCCCTTTGTTGCATAGATATGGTTGCTTCTTTGATGGGAGTATCCTAAAAGTTTGACCTTTTTTGTTGGGATACTGGGTATATGGTCAAAATTTGTTCATTGTTTGTAACCCGTTGGTATAAAAAATGGGTCCGTGTGTTAGTTTCTGAGTGATAAAACTTTTTGGAAGCATGAAGGGCCCCTATTGTTTATTGAAAAGGGACAATCAGAATCTAGGTTAAGGTTACATTTTTGTTTTGTTCTGGTTGGTTAAAAGGGTTTCTATATTTTGTGAAGATATTTTGTCAAGATAGTCCAGTCAACAAAGCATTTGAAAATGTCTCCTTTATGTTTGTTTATGGGTTAAATTTGTTTCAGTATTATTAAACTCAACTTGTATTGTTTTTAGTAAACAATATATATCAAAGTAGGGTCCTAATGTTGTTGTTTTTATTGTCATGTGTAGAAAAAAGCAGCAAGTTGTTGACAGTTTAGTTTTTCCACCATGGAGAACTCAAGAAAGAACCCTACCCACATTCTGAAGGTGGAGAGATGAGTGTTTACGACCATGTTGACTGTAGTGCCCTGTTGCTTGCTCATCTACGGATAATGTGTGATGCTGCATCTGGGAACAAGGGGGGACTAAGTTTTTCTACAGCAATGAGGGGGTTAAAGAGGGTGATCTTCACAAGGTTACCACTGACACTAAACTTCAAGAGCTGTGTAGTGATGCTCTAGCTGGTGATAGGCTACTAATCCTATATGACTATCCAGTTAATGATGTGGTTGATGATACAACTGGTGAAGATGCCGAAAGTGAAAGTGATAGTGATAGTAGTGATAGAGATTGGGATGAAAAGGATTCGGAGTATGACCAGGAAGAATCTGAAAATGACTATGACTTAGTAGCTGATGACAGTGGTGGTGTAGAAGGGCCTAAAAACCATAAAGCATCTACATCAAGTGCGGGAGCTAAAAAGCTATATAATTCTTCAGTTGGAGCTAAAAAGGTGCAACCTACATCACTGACTAAGGCTTACAAGTATGATGAGGGTAACTACAATGACAACAGTGGGTCAGAATTGGAACCAGATTCTGAGGAAGACTTGCAGAGTGTACAGGGATCAGATGGTGAAGATGTCGACAAGCCTATGTTGTTTCATCCTGAGGACATGGAGAAGCCACCCCTGAGAGCTGGACTAACATTTAGTTCCCGGGCAGAATGTAAGGAAGCAATTAGACGCTATAATATTAGGAGAGGCAGAAGATGGAGGTTTAAAAAGGATGACAAACGCAGAATAAAGGCTATTTGTCCTGAGAAGTACAAGAAGAATCATAAAAGCAAAACACTTAAGCAGTGTGACTGGATTATATACGTCAGTATGTGTAGTGGGTCCCCTGTTGTGACTACGTTTGTGACTTGGCATAAGTGCAAGTTCAGGCAAAGAAATAAGAGTGTAACCTCAGCCATTACCGGCAGGATTTGTTCTCAGTTGGTGAAGGATAACCAGACCATCACAACCAGGGATTACAAGAGACTTGCAAAGGAGAAATACAAGTTTATTCTCACAAAAACGCAAGCTTATAGAGCAAGGAGGAAGTCCATGAGAATTGTTTATGGGAATGTTGAAGATCAGTATGATAAGCTGAGGGATTATTGTGGGGAAATAATGAAGAGTAATCATGGTTCTACGGTAGCCCGAGTTGCAGATCCCATGTTTGTGGATGAGATAACAAGTCAGGCAAGATCCCTCAGATTGCACATATGCTACACTTAAGCATGTAGGCCTATTATAGGGTTAGATGGGACATTCTTGAAGGGTGCAACCAGAGGTATATTACTCACAGCCGTAGGAGTTTGACCCTAACAATGGGGTATACCCAATAGCATGGGTTGTTGCTGAGGGTGAGACAAATGTATCCTGGGAATGGTTTCTGAATCTGTTGAAGAAAGATTTGAGGATTGAAAGGGACAGTGAGTGGACTATTAAGAGTGATAAACAAAAAGGATTGATTCAGGCTTGTGAAACGGTCTTTCCAAATGCTGCTCACAGGTTTTGTGTGAAGCATATGCATCACAATTTTTCTGATAGTGGGTTTAGGGGTGAAGCACTAAGGCAATTGCTCTAGAAAGCATCTAAGTCCACAACAGAGAACGAGTTCTATGCGAATATGGCAGAGATGGTTGAGTTGAATAAAGATGCTGCAGATTGGTTTAATGACAAACCCAAATCGGAGTGGGTAAGGGCTTTTTTTTCCAGTTTTTTGGCTAAATGTGATATTTTGTTGAATAACCACTGTGAATCTTTTAATAGTATGATTAAGGATGCTAGATCTATGCCAATCGTAAGCATGCTAGATGAAATTAAAAGGATTATTGTAGAGAGGTTCTATGAGAACAGAAAAACGGCCAAATGTTTGTTGAGTGATAGGGCAATATGTCCTAGGATTTTGAAAGGGTAATCAACAACTCGAAGCAGGCGAAACTATGTCATGTTTACACCTCATGATGAGTTCCATTTTGAGGTTGAAGGGGGAGGGGTTGATGTTGGAAAGTATGTTGTGGACTTGAAAGAAAATACCTGTAGCTGTAGAAAATGGCAGCTATATGGCATACCTTGCCCACATGTCATATGTGATGCTTGGTGTGTTGACAAAGAGCCTTTGGATTTGGTAGATCCCTGTTACAGTGTGGAAGCATACCAATAGTGTTATGGTCCTTGTATCTTGCCAATGAGAGGTGAATCAGAATGGGAAAAGGCACCAGGGTTACCGTTTCTTCCCCCACTTTATGGTAGACCTCCAGGGAGACCAAAGAGTACCAAAAGGAAAAAGAGTGTTGCTGAAAGAATAATTGAGGTTGATGGAAAACAGAAGCTGAGTAAGGTTGGGCAGACAATGAGTTGTAGTATATGTAAAATCTCAGTGTCATAATAGGAGAAAGTGTCCTTCAAGGACAGCCTCACAAGGGACACAAAATGAACCAGCTGCGGTGCCTGCCACAGGTGAGCATGGATCCAAATGTGGCTATTGTGGACTCACAGGTCACAACCAGAGGAAGTGCCCTTTCATTGACCCACCAGGGGGTTGTAGACCTTGGCAGCAATGTTGATGACTTTTTTGATGCCGTAAACCTTGGAGCAAACAATGATGTCTCGTCTCCTGTAAGTGTTCTTTAATTGCAAATGAATTATTTCATTTTCTGTAAGACCACAAGATTAACATATTTTCTCTGTAAATAGGGCAAGAGGAAGCTTGGAGACCCTAATGAGTCCAACTACGAAGAGGCCAGTCTTCATGAAAGCCACATTGCGGTAAGCTTATTGCGTATGGACTTTCATTATATATTCTGATGTAAGTGTAATCTGTACAGCATTTTCATGCAAAATTTATCTCAGGAAATGAGGTCCAATGAAGCTTTGCCAATGAAGAAAATACAACATATAAAGAAAAAACAGAAAATGTCAGGGTACATGTAAGTGTAATGTATCATTATGTTTTACAATTTTCATATGTATGTCCCCACATCATTCATTTTTTCATATATTGTCAAAGGAGGAAAAAGGGCATCAGTCTGATTCTCTTCTTGGTGGTATACAGAAGGCGAAACTAGAAGCGCTGCGTAGAAGTCCTAGGAAAACGCAAGCAGCTGTAAGTTTTCTATATTTTTCCCCATGCCTTGCAAAGAAAGTGGTTTGGAATGAGAATGTAGCTGTAAATTTTTCCTTGTTGGTTATTTTCAAACCCAACCCGAACCCATAGTTCAAAAGGAGAAGGGGAAGAGAAAAATGTCGACTTTATTTCAGAGTTCATCTCTGTTGTGTGTCTACTGCAAGCGCACGGGCTTATCGTGTAGCAATAAGATACCGTTCCCACGAGGACTTTTATACTAAGTACTGAATTTCTACAACTTAGTTAGCTAAACCAATTAAAACTTTGAGAGTTGTGAAAATTTAAGAAGCAAACAAATTAAATAAACAGATCAAACTTTTCAAGAATGTAGATGATGACAAACGTCTAGAATTCAGTTCACCGCAATGATGATTACGAACTATTATAACAATCCCCTATTAATTATGAATGCCAACTTACGAAGGTGAATTATCCTATTTTAATTATTTTCTCCTCTCGAAGTATAACAACGTGTCTAAATTAACCAACCTCCTATTCTCATGGTGATTGTATTAACTTAAACCCATTAACGATCTTTGATATTCAATGAGCCCTCAAAAGACTGAAACCTACTCTCGTGATTCTAGATCTTAGGTTCAATTCTACGGTTCCGGTATTAAAATTTCACCTCTCGGTCCCTCACTCAATACCCATAATCATGCAAATAAATGGCCAATAAATTCACAAGCATTAGACATACTAGAATCAAATCATAAGCACAAGGCATTCATAAAAGTAAGAAAAATCACAACTTTAATTAATAATCAATCATTGGGCTACCTCCAAGTCTAGAACAAGAAAACTACTCACTCATGTTCAACTAGGAATCCATCAAAGCAATAGAAATCAAATACACACATAGAAAGAAAGATTAAATAAAGACAAAGAAAATTTAGTCCCAACAATCTTCATTTGAATTCTTGAATTGAATAGAGTAGAAATAATTCTTCAAAAGAGAGCCAAAACCCTTGCTCCTAAAAGTTCTCTCTTGTTTACGTCAAAGTGAAAAAGATGATAATGAGGAAAATAACTAATACCCTAAAAATAATATTTTTAGGAGAGAAAGATTAGAGAAAAATCTCTTTCCCAAATGAATTAGATCTTTTATTAAAAGTTGCTCTAAAAAAAAAACTTCTCTTGGCCAAAATACTCCAGCCAGCCGTCCAAGTTGTGCAAGATATCCAAAATTTTCAGATTGGTCCTTGAATTTTTTAAATATTCCACTTTTGCCCAAAAGTTTTGATTTTCTTCAATTCAATCCTTAAATTTTCTTTTCTGCTCCAATTTCGCTTCAAATCTTCAAATTCACTCCATTAGCTTTAAATCCTACAAAGAAAATAAAATAACAAGTGAATTGTCCCAAAAACACCAAAAACACAACAAATTATTAAGTAAAATGGTAAGAAAATAAGTATATAATTTGCATTATCAAATTCCCCCAAACTTAAGATTTTGCTTGTCCTCAAGCAAACAAATTCTAAACTCATTTTATTATACAAAAACAGCAAAGAGAATTGTAAAAACTTGTCTCAGATTCAAGTCTCATCAGAGACAGATAATGTACACCACAGTTCAGAAACACTTGAACAAGTCAAAAACTCACTTCCATGAGTGTGTAAAACGGACCACAAAACAATTTATAGCTTAACCTACTATCCATTCTAAGATTAGATTCAATTTATTTCAAATGGACATTCTTGTGATCAGTACCTATTTCCTTCTTGCCTTCAACTAGGGTATTCTTACTGAGATTCAGAACAAAAGACTTTTTCTCATTTCTGCAAGCATCATAGGCTGCATCTTTTCACCCTCGTACCTTTTCCTCATGGTCCAACTGACTTTTTTTCGAACTTTTCCCACTCAGGCCTCTACTAAGTACATGTTTAGCAGCTATGAAAATCTAAGCATTTAAACTTTTGTTTTAAACTCACCAGGCCTGGGGACACTCCACTTTTTGGTGCTATACCTCACCTCTCAAGCGATTAAATGTCACATAGGACACTCTGGCTATACTCCCTCATTAGATAAAACACTTAACCTAAGATTCAACTGCCAACTTCCCCTTTTCCCAAGGTATTTAGGCTAATACAAACCACTATGGGCTCCATTCGAGACTGGCATAATGCGTAGGGTTGCCTTAGTCTAACTCTCAGATTTACAGTCCCCCCAAGTTTCAGACAAGTGGACTCCAGTATAAGATCACAATAACGCACTAAGCATTCAAGATTTTAAAAGTTTAAGCCCAGAGCAAACACATTGTCACGTGGAATGTTGTGCATAAAGATGTGGTCATGAGTTTCCAACATTGTCTAAGAATGTCCAGAATAGGTGTATTTACAGTTATTTATAACATTCAATATTGAATTCATCATAGATTATTGACAATTCTCTTTTTCTTTTCAAAACGACTTTTTTTTTTGGTTCTTTGTTTTTTTTTTTGAAAAAACAAGAGTTTGAACCGAATACTTGAAGACATGCATTATTTCCCAAAAATAATTATTCTCCCCCCAAACTTGAAACAAACAGTGTCCTCACTGGACTCATTAAAGCACATAGGAGAAAAGAAATAAAAATTAATCACATAGAAATAATGCATGTGAGAGACAAGAAACTATCCTAGTACGGGACCAATTATAAATTATATGCACAGAAAAACTCATCACCAACGGAAGCCTAATTAAAACGGGAAGCATGTAACCGGATTCAAGCTCGCACAAAAACCAAAAATCCAAGATTAAATCATTAAGAAACAAAGGAAAGAGACTTCCCTGAATGTTGTGGCTGATCGGGAGGGTTGTTGCTTCTTCTTCTGTGGTTAAGGATCGGTGATGATGATTCGGTGGAATTCTGCTTGAGGCTGCCGATTCTGAAGGATTGGAGACTTTGCAACCAGCAGCGAAGAATGAGTGACGGTCGTCAACGCTGATGAAGAACGGATGGTGCTGTTGGTTTGTGTGGGTGATGGTGCGAGAGAGAGATGGAGGCTGCTGGTTCGGTGTAGAAGGTGCAGCGGCGGGGAGTGGATTTTCGGTGGTGGTAGGTAGAAGAAGTTGGGGTCGGCGGTGGTGTTTTGACGGGGAAGGAGAAAAGAAAATTGGCAGCATGGTTCTTTTTTTCTTGTTTTTTTTCTGATTTTTTTTTTTTTTGAAATAAAAGAATAAAAAAATGGTGTGGGCATGCGGGAAGGGAGGGTCTTTGCTGGAATTTTCATGTCTTCTTGGATATAACTTCGTTTGGGCACACGGGAGCGACTCATCTTTGCTAAAATTTCTGTGTCCTCCCTCAGTAAAGTTCGTGTGGGCACATGGGAGTGGCATCACGTTGCTGGAATTTTCTTCAAACACCTCCCCAAATTCGTATGGGCACTCGAGAATGTTGACAAGAGAACTCCAAATTTGCACATGATCATGTAAGAGTCCTCACCAACTCATCGCTCTTTTACTCCTCAAAACAGAAATACAACAAGCGTCACACATGATCACGTTCACCCCACCTTTGTAAATGCAAAACAAAATAGAACAAATAAGATTAACAACTCAACTAAATAACAAATTCAAAAAAAAAATCAAAAGAATAAAAAACAAACATAACAACTAAAATTTTAAAATTGGGTTGCCTCCCAATAAGCGCTCGTTTAAGGTCATTGAGCTCGACCCCTGTCAAATCAATCCGGAGCAGGAGCAATTTCAGAGAGAATGCAATTCATTCCTTTCAAAATTGTCTTCCAAACCTTGTTGCGCTTTGATCTTTTCATAATTAATTTCAATCTCTTAGAGGAAACAGGTGTTTTAGATTCAAATTCTTCAAACTTTTCAATCGAAGGTGAGAGATCATTAATGACCTCTAACTTTTCCACTCTATCTATTCGGTGCAAGATCCTTGGAAGTGTTCCATCTAATGGAAAAGAAGTTGCTACATTTTTACCCTCATGAGATACGTTGTCATCATTCAACTGACATATCTCTGGTGGATCTTTGGGATTGGATATGATCTTATTTTCTCCCATCAAAGTGTCAACTACATCAATCCTGTAACATAAATTCTCAAAAGAAGGTTGTTTAGTAGCTTTAGACAAATCAAATTCAACACTTTCATTCCCAACACTAAAAGAAAATTTTTTCTTTTTGACAAAAATCTCAGCACCCGAAGTAGCAAGGAAAGGCCTCCCAAGGATGATAGGAATTCTAGGATCCTCTTCCATTTTGACAACTACAAAATCAACTGGAATGAAAAACTTACCTACCTTGATAGGTACATCTTCCACTACACCTTCAGGATAAATAACAAAGCGGTCTGCTAGTTGAAGAGTTATATTGGTAGGAAGCAAATCACCTAAATCAAGTTTCTTAAAAATTGATAGGGGCATCACACTTACAGCTGCCCCTAGATCACACAAAGCATTCTTGAAATTCAAATCACCAATAACACAAGGAACGGAGAAGCTACCTGGATCATCAAGTTTAGGAGTCATTTTATTTCGAAGTAAAGCACTACACTCCTTAGTTAAAGTAACAGTTTCATAATCATCAATCTTTCTTTTATTATACAACAATTCCTTCAAAAATTTGCATAAGAAGGCATTTCTTTCAAAGCATCAACAAAAGGAATATTAATGTATAACTTTTGAAGAACATCAAAAAATTTTCCAAACTGTTTATCCAGCTTAGGGTATGTTTGTTTCGTTTTTTTAGTGTGTGTTTTTAGGTATTTTTTGTATTGGGAATGTAAAAAGGTGTATTAGAAATGTAAAAAGGTATGTTGGGATGGAACAGTTATTATTTAAATATTTTGAAAATACCATCAAAAAAATCCTAACAAACAAAGCCTTAGCCTTAACAAATCTTTGTGGAAAAGGAAGAGGTGGCTTATAAGGTGAAGGGGCAATATATTTAGGCTCTTCATCTCTTTGGTTATCCACATTAGCATTAACTTCATTATTCGGTGGATCAACTACTTTAGCTTTCTCATTTACCCTATTTTTACCTTTTGAATCTTCTAACTACTTCCCACTTCTTAAAGTCACTGTTGCACAATCTTTAGGATCCTTAGGTTGACTAGGTAACCTACCAGGACGTTTGGAAAGCAAAGAGGCTTGTTGGGCGATTTGAGTTTCTAGCATCTTATTATGAGTTGCAAGAGAATCAACCTTAGAAGAAATCAATTTAATTGCCTCATTAAATCCTTCATTTTGTTTGGTCTGAGTAACCACAACATTTTCAAGCAAAGACTCCAAATTAGATTTTTGAGCTGGTGGAGAATTAAAAGACCTTTCCTGAAAACCAGGAGGTGGATTGGGATTATTTTGAGAAATGGGATTTGAATTCTTGTAAGAAAAATTGGGGTGGTTTCTCCAGCCACGATTATAGGTATTAGAAAAAGGATCAATTTTCTGGCTAAAGTTATTGTATAATTGACAGGTTCAGCGGAAGAATCATGAGCCCTCATCAATTGACAATTTGAAGCAACATGACCAACATTCCCACAAATTTCACAAGAAACATTATTCACACCCACAGAATTTAAACTCAACTTGTCGAGCTTTTGGGGCAAAGAATCAAATTTAGCAGCTAGCATATTCAAAGGATTAAGTTCATACTTACCTGGAGTTTTCTGTAAAGGAGCTCTCTCATCTAACCACGAAGAATGATTCTTCGCCATGCTCTCAAGAAGCTGGTATCCGGTATCTACACCTTTATCCATAAAAACTCGTCCAGTTGCAGCATCAACGGACATTTTTGTACTGTAGTTAAGTGCACCATAGAAAGTTTGCACTATCAGCCATTTCTCAAGCCCATGATGAGGACATAATCGCAACAATTCCTTGAATCGTTCCCAAGCTTCATATAACGTTTCACCTTCCTTTTGCACAAAATTCATAATTTGATTACGAAGAGTAGCAGTCTTGCTGAGAGGGAAGAAATTGGCTAAGAAAGCTTGTGAAAGTCCATCCCATATAGTAAATGTTTCAGCTGGAGGGGAATACAACCATGCCCTTGCCTTATCTCTTAAAGAGAAAGGGAACAATCTCAATCTAATAGCATCAGTGGAGACTCCATTCATCTTGAAAGTGTTACAACAATCCAAAAACATTGAGATATGCAGGCTAGGATCTTCACTAGGTAAACCTCCAAACTGATTTTGCTGTACCATGGAAACAAGAGAAGGCTTGAGCTCAAAATTGTTGGCATCAATTGGAGGACTTGTGATGCTTGATTGGAGCCTATTAGTACTAGGTGCTGCATAATACTTCAAAGATCTTACTTCACCCATTGCTTTTGATAAGGAAGCAGATTTCTTCGCAAATTGTAATTTTCTTCTGGCACGAAAAGATCTTTCCATTTCAGGGTCTGGATCAACAAAATTTTAAGTACTTTCACTCTTGGTCATGCAAAAGAAATAATCGCACCTAAAAAGACAAAAGTAAACAAATTAAAAAAATAAATAAAAATAAATATAAATTGTCTAGTCTAACGATGTGTAGAAAATATCAATATCAGTAGGACAAATTCCCGGCAACGGCGCCAAAAACTTGTTGTGTGTCTACCGCAAGCGCACGGGCTTATCGTGTAGCAATAAGATACCGTTCCCACGAGTACTTTTATACTAAGTACTGAATTTCTACAACTTAGTTAGCTAAACCAATTAAAAATTTGAGAGTTGTGAAAATTTAAGAAGCAAACAAATTAAATAAACAGATCCAACTTTTCAGGAAAGCAGATAATGACAAACGTCTAGAATTCAGTTCACCACAATGATGATTACGAACTATTGTAAAAATCTCCTATTAACTATGAATGCCAACTTATGAAGGTGAATTATCCTATTTTAATTATTATCTCCTCTCGAAGTATAACAACGTGCCTAAATTAACCAACCTCCTATTCTCATGGTGATTGTGTTAACTTAAATCCATTAACGATCTTTGATATTCAATGAGCCCTCAAAAGACTAAAACCTACTCTCGTGATTCTAGATCTTACGTTCAATTCTACGGTTCTGGTATTAAAATTTCACCTCTTGGTCCCTCACTCAATACCATAATCATGCAAATAAATAACCAATAAATTCACAAGTATTAGACACACTAGAATCAAATCATAAGCACAAGGCATTCATAAAAGCAACGAAAATCACAACTTTAATTCATAATCAATCATTGGGCTACCCCAAATTCTAGAACGAGAAAACTACTCACTCATGTTCAACTAGGAATCCATCAAAGCAATAGAAATCAAATAAACACATAGAAAGAAAGATTAAATAAAGACAAAGAAAATTTAGTCCCAATAATCTTCACTTGAATTCTTGAATTGAATAGAGTAGAAATAATTCCTCAAAAGAGAATCAAAACCCTTGCTCCTAAAAGTTCTCTCTGGTTTACGTAAAAGTGAAAAAGATGGTAATGAGGAAAATAACTAATACCCTAAAAATAATATTTTTAGGAGAGAAAAATTAGAGAAAAATCTCTTTCCTAAATTAATTAGGTCTTTTATTAAAAGTTGCTCTCAAAAAAAAAAAAAAAACTTCTCTCGGCCAAAATACTTCAGCCAGCCGTCCAAGTTATGCAAGAAATCCGAAATTTGCTTATTGGTCCTTAAATTTTTCAAATATTCCATTTTTTTCACAAACGTTTTGATTTTCTTCAATTCAGTCCTTAAATTTTCTTTTCTGCTCCAATTTCGCTTCAAATCTTCAAATTCACTCCATTAGATTTAAATCCTACAAAGAAAATAAAATAACAAGTGAATTGTCCCAAAAACACCAAAAACACAACAAATTCTTAAGTAAAATAGTAGGAAAGTAAGTATATAAATTGCATTATCAATCTCAGCCCACACAAAATTCAAAAAATGTGAAGATTCAAAAGGAGAAGGGGAAGAGAAAAATGTCGATATTATTTCAGAGTTCATTTCAGCCCATACAAATTCACGAAATGTCAAGATTCAAAAGGACAAGGGCCAGGGAAAACAACAGGTTAATGTCTATTGATGTGTTTAAGTGTCGTATTTTAATATTGTTGATTATAAGATGTAGGCTTTTACTATGTAATCTGTAATTTTCCCTTCTTGTTTTTTTCAGAGTTTATCTCAACCCATCAAAATTCCCAAAAATGTCCAAATGAAAAAGGATATGAAAAAGGGAAACAGAAGGTTAATCTGAACTTCTTAAATAGTTGGATTGAATTGTCAAGTTCTTTGTTTGCCTGCATTAATTGCTTTTTCCTTTCATGTTAATGTCTTTCTCAGACCAAGACTGATGAAAAGGAGCACCAATATGCTGAACCAGACGTAATTTTCTTAGATGAGGCTGTTCATCAGGTGAAGCAACTACGGGGTAGGACAATCAGTGTTAATCCACCTAATCAGGTATTTCTATGGATAAAAAGATTCTATAAGGTTCTTTTACTTCATTCAGTAGTAATCCTTCCTTATATGTATTTTATGGTTATACATATTTTATCAGATCAAGGGAGATAATAAAGTCATGAAGAGAAAAATGAAAGGAAATCAGTATGTTGCACCCAGCTTTCAGCTTATTGATGAGCCAATTGAGGACACTCAGACGGAACTTTCCAGGAGCCCATCAGTAAGGTGACATGCAAGAAGGAAATATCTGCAAAGGTGGTTTCTGATGAGCCTTCTTCTGGTACAGTCTCACAGATCAATAACTCCAAGTTTCTTGAAACTTTCGGTGGTGTTGTACCCCAGCAGTACAAGGTAAGCTATTCACATAAGATACCTGAGTTGAAGAATGTGAAGAAGGTAGCTGTTCAGTCAAGTATGGACACAAAGATGCATAAACCAAATGGTGATATTGATTGGGGCTCACAAGCTATCATGGACAACATTACTGAACGAACATCTAAAGCTATTGCAAGAGGTAACGAGTTGTATAAGATGTGTGGATTAAAACCCCCTCCTTCCTCAACAGATGGTATTTTCACCATTGGTTCTACTCAGGCGAAACCTTTATCAGATATAACTGCTGAAGTTATTGCAACAACCAATGAGTTGTGTCGCCTTTCTGGTCCTGATGTCTTGGGAGATATTAGTAAGCCGAAAACCGTGTTGAAGCAAGTGAAGCCTGAAAAGTTACAGCTCTGTTTAAGCTAGTTGTCTTCTTTTGGTAGTATGTGTCAAACATTTAGTTTGAATTTAACTTGGTAGTAGACTCTATTATGTAAAGCTAGTATTAAGTGTACTTGGATTTTATGCTCTTATTTTCAGCTCTAGGCTTTCTAGGAGATGTTTTTGTGGGATGTGATGATGAAACAGAAGCAAATATCTTCTGCTCTCTTTTTGTACGCATCCTACTATTTAGTCCTTAATGTAAGACATCTTAAGATGCATAACTTCCATATATGGCAATGAAATCAGTGTATATGCGACACCTTAAATTATGATCTTCTAGTTAGCTTCTTTGTATCTTCACAGGTTTACATCTGCAATTGTTTTGGCATAGTAACGTTTGACAACATTTTAAGTACTAAATTAAGTGTATGAGCCGTAGAAATCGCATTACTATGGTGTTTGTTCTATGGCAGAAGGATCATGAAGAGCAATAATCTCATTTGTAATGAACACAATGGAAATAAGAATAAAATTTTGACCAATGCACCAAATTTGCCAACATACATTCCATTAAGATCATCCATTAAAACCCGAAATACATTCAACTTGCAAACCATGATCCTACCTTCTAATACACTTCTAATATGAACTACCCTTCTAATACAAACTAAACATCAACCGCTGACATCATTCTACCTTCTACACTCCCTAAGACTACGACACAGTTCAACACGACTACAACACACAAGAGAAGTCAGCACATTACAACTTGGACAATTTATCAAACAGCTTCAGTGCATTCTTCGTTTGCTTCATATAACAGAAGAAAAGGCCATTGCTGCCAACACAATTGCAGCAATTTGGGTCCAAAATAGTTTCTTCTTCAACTGCCTAATTTCTTCATCATTTGTGTTGCATCTTCTGAGCAATCCAGGGATAATTGCCTTTGCTCTGGCACACACATCCGGGTCATGCCATCGAAAAAATCTACACCGATCATCCCTCTACAATTCCAAAACATCACACCATTGAATTCCTTTCAAATTATCACAAATTGAATATTACTTAAAGAAATTTAACTTACCGGATACAAAGGGCAGCCCCAAAACCTTCTCCTAGGATGATCGTCCTTCCAATAAGTTACCAAGTTTACAATCAACCCACACCGATACCTCACAACACCGTTTCCTTCCATCTGCAATTTTTCCTTTCAAAATATGCTGCACTTCTTTGCCTTTTCCTTTTTTTCGACAATAATACTCTGATAAATAGGTTGAGGAGGAATCAATATTTATGCTATGTGGAGAGTTTTCTTGCTCCCAATTTCACGCCTTTGCCGTAGTAATTTTCTCTTTTTTTATTTGAGTTTTTTTTAATTAAAATTTTTTTTGGTCAAACTTAGTGGGTCCCACAAACAGTAACGAAATGAATATAAAAAGAAAGAATTGACGGAGAGTAGATTGGTCCCATTAATTTTTGAAAAATTCTGTTAAATCAACTGAAATTGACGAGAACAACATTGTAGGGGACTATTTTTGTCAATTAAAACTTCTTGGGGACTTCATCTTGCTACCCCCAAAGCTGGGGGATGTAAAGTGGATTTCGTCCTATTTTTATTTACTACTTTTTGGAGTGTTTTCCTTATATGGTGCAGAAATATCTAGGTTTAAATTTGAAATTGGTGTAATATTTTCTTCCAAATTGTTTGTGTTTATTAGGATATATTTTGAGGAATATCTTTGGTTGTTGCTAATATCTATGTGAAATATTTCCTTCAATTTGTCGAGTGAATAATGATTTAATTTCTCTCGACATGTCATTAATTTAAGATCGTTATTTGAAATTCGTTTACCACAATCGGTGTTGAACGAATGTCAATATGATATTTAATGAAAATACATGTTATTTTCAAGTAAAAGAAAGTCACTTGGTTATGCTCCTAACTCAAAACGATATATAATAGGGTGAGAGAAAAAGAAAAAATGCCACTACTTATGATATTCAAAAGCAAAATAACTTGATGTAGTCCTGAATTGAAATGGTAGACAAAAAAAAAGAAAAAAAAAAGAAAAGACATAAGTGCTTCAACGAGATACCAACCATAGTTATTTCAATAAATTTAATAAATGATAAAAAAACACAACCATGACAACTTTAGAACATCAACTCACTAACGTTTAAATGCATTAATTAGGGTTTGTGATGGAAGTTGGTATAACCATATCCAATCATGGCCTGAATGATTAATTAGACGGCCACCTAGCTGGAACACCAATATTACCACCGCCCCCGGGAGGAAGAAATGCTGCCGGAGATCCATACCCGCTTGCCCCGGAACTACTAGTTCCGGCGACCCTTGTCGGCGCGAACTTAATAAATGCATGATTAGCCCTAGTTTCCTCAACCCTTTTTTGCCGGTCAATTTCACGATCAACATTCATCTTCAAGCCTTCCATTTCCTTCATCAGATGCTCTAACTGCTGTAAATTGAGATCCTCAATGGGTCCCTCCCACCAATTATTCTGATCTTTGCGTTTCTTAATCGCTTCATCGAGCACTTCCCGCTGTTCTTGTTCCGCTTTCAAGAGTTCATCAATTCTCTTGAACTCTTCATTCAGCTTTTGATTCTCAGCAGCCTGATGAGTCTCGAGAACACGGTCGAATCTCAGTGTGTTGCCTTGGAGGTAATCTCCGATAACAGCCTCGAGATTAGGATGAGCAAATGAATAGACTTTGTTTTTGGGCGAAAATAGGATCAAAGCGATTTTTGCATCGCACAGGATGCAAAGCTCGCTAGCCTTTTTCATCAGGCCGCTGCGACGTTTTGCAAAAGTTACACTCAGGCGGCTCTCATTTTCGATTTTCTTGATTTCGATCTTCTTGCGGCCTTGGTAAATTCTGGCCATGGCTCACGAGCTAAAAGAAAAAACTTGAAAACTAGTATAAAAAATTCTTAGACAAAACGAAATTGATTTTGTAAGAATTCAAGAGAGAAATGTTGTGTTTTTGTTCCGACCGAAAGGCTCCTATTTATAGTTCGTAGTTTTTTTATTAGGCTTCATTATCTTCTAATTAAATTGCCATGTACATTGAATGCATGTATAATTTTTTCACAAAAAGAAAAAAAGAGAAAAGCTGAAGATGAATCTAGCTATCATCCAGCTAGTTCATCTGGTAAATTCATTTTAATAGATAGAATAATTATCCAACTAATTTATTAAAATATATTATTTACTGTTAATTAAGGTTTTGATTCGTTCCTGGTAGTAAGAATGTCAAAATGTGTCTTGTAAAGGATTTTTTTCTCTTTTCCTTATAACGGGTGGTGAAATTATTACAAAAAAAATTAAAAAACAAAATCATGAGATATGTAAGCTTTATCAGGTGCCAGATTCGCAAGTAATGCTGATTAATTCACCAACCTACCCATTATCAGTGCTAGTGTATACCTTGCATATTGTGCGGTCATTTCAAGATATATATGAAATTAATAATTTAACGATGAAAAGTTTTTTCTATCTACCTATCTTATAATTTCCTTTTCCCTTTTCTTTATACTTTCTCCCTTTTTATAATTTTTCTTCACTTGGTTGCTAATGCTGAAATTAAAGACCAAGTAGTAGTGGTGATCGGCTGTGCAGAAAGTGATTTCTTTTGATTGTAATAGGATTTGAAGTGAAGGAAAAATGAAAATAAAGACTAATGAGGATCATGGTCGGCAATGGAGTGAGGATTTTCTTTTCTTCCTTTTAGGAGGGAATGGGAAGGGGTTTGGTGTTTTGAGAAGGTGTGGGAATCAAATGGAATTGGGCAATTTTGGTTTGAGATAGCCGAGAGGGAGTATTGTAATGATTTACAATGATAGATTTTATGAGTTTCAATGTATTTTGTTATTTTAAGTATATTCGGAATAATTTTCAATATTTAAAAGTATTCAATTTAACTTATTGTTCATTGTTTTCGTTTTGTTGATTTATGTTTTTTTTATGTTTCAACACTATTCTCTTAATATTTTACAATGATCCTTGTAAATAATTCTATCCCTGTCATATCTTTGAAACTCTCCATCTAGCAGAAAATTTTCTTATTATTTGTTTCCGTAAACTTTTTCTTTATTTTCCATCTCTCGATATACTTTTTACAACATTTTTTAAGAAATTTGTTTGAATATTTTTTCTATAATCTAGTGTTTACTTCATTTTTTTTCTTAGTTGCATAGTCTTCAGTTTTTGTTTTTTTTTTTTCTAAATTTGATTACCTCTCTTTAAAGTTTCATTTCTTGAAGAATTTATAATAATTATTTCACTGATAGCTCCGTTTTTTTTTTTTTATTCTCTACATAATTTTTTCCTTTGTATAAATATTTTCAATTTCTCAATATGCTTTTCTTTTACTGTATGTCTCTCACAAAAGCCTTTATTCTTTATGTCATTTTGGAAAAAACTTTCTCTATTATTCTCTAAATTTTGTTTTATCATCATAACATTAAATTTTTCTACCATTATTATTTTTTTTTATTTTTAGATTTTAATGTCATAAAGGATAAAGTAATTTATACACTTATAATTTTCTTTTTTAAGACTTATCTTATTTGATACTAATATTTAATTATGATTATTTTTAATTCTTATTCTCAATAATTTTAGATAATTACAAAACTAAAAGGCGTATAAAGAATGAATGTAAAAGACCACGGGCAAAGTAAACATTTAGTTGATTTATTAAGTTCTTTTTTTTTTTTTTTTGCCCGAAGTGAGCTTCTTTTTACATTTTCCTTATGTAGTAACTTATACCACTCTTTTTAGGCATCATTACCACTTAGTATAATGGACTCTTATTACAATTACAATGGTTAGAGAATTAGAGGAAGTGGAATTTTGATCAATTTTTTATTAGTGTTTTTTTTTACTATGCTCCACAATAACCGGTTATTAATTAATTAGGATTTAGTTGTCGTTAATTTTATTTTTTTCCTTTTGTTTTTTTAGTTAATTTAGTTTTATCTCTATAAATTTATGATTTTACATTAAAAATTTACCATTAAATGATGGAGTGATGTAAGTATGACACGTGGACTTGGCTGTCTAATTTTTCGTCACGTGGATTAACTTATTTAATTTTGTGCTATGTGTCCGATTGAAAACTCTTCTTTAATATATATAGAGATATCATGTCCAGATCCAATCCCTTATTTTCAAAACTTTATGTACATATTGAGACAGTAAATTATTTGCAAAACAGAAAAAAATATTTCCATGCATGAGAGATGACATTTAAATTTCAACTTACTACGTGCCTCTCTACATCCAAAGAAGGGGTTAAGAATCTCCGATACAATAATCTTATAACATTTTCTAATCATCAAATAATTTTTTCACATTAATTTCTCTATTTAAATATTATTTTCCTTTTTTGAAATTTTACTAATACTCGAACACACCCTGGATGAACCCATCAGGATTATATATCAAAATCTTAATGAATAATATAGAAAGTGGTGTGAGATTATGCGTACAAGATTTTTTGCCGAACCGGTGTGAAATATACTAATCAAAATCTAGCATGTTATAATTTGCATTAATTAATAACATTGAGGAATTTTGTAAATGTGGAGCTGTCGAAAATGGGGAAACATTTATTTTAGAAATTCTTAGGCATATTGAGGGAGTTGGCAAACATTTCATACAACTACAATATTCGTTCAGCCCGCGAACAGAATTTCAAACTAGGACGTACGATGTGTCGGTTCAATCTTATAAAGTAATACAAAACAATGACATTAAGTCACTGGCTATATCCAAGTTAATGAGATCTCTCTATTTCTTTCGACGAAACTATAGCGTACTTACCTTACAGTATCGCATATTTTCAGAAGAAATTAAAATTAAAGACACATGATGTAATTTAAGAACAAGGCAATTACATTGCGCAGATTATTTATAACAATATTACGGAGAACATCAGTTGCACTAACAACAATTAAATGGAAAACAGTACTTAATAAAATAAAATTCATCTCCCAGTCACAAGTTAATAATTTTTCCTTAAAGCTAAAATCACACGCTATGTGCAAATCGTCTTGGAAAAATTTACTACGAAATTAAATGGGGATCAGGTTATTTTATTATGCACTTGGATATCGAAATTCCTGGACCAAGGATAATTAAGAAATATCTATTAAAATATCATAAGTACTATTTGGTGACTTTCATTCTATAAAGAACAACTAATCTATATATATATATATATATATATATATATATATAGCGTATAAATGATACTAAAGTATTAGATAAAAACATTGGTTAATTAGTTGCTGTCTCCCCACAGTCACAGTGGGGCATTGGACACAACGTTTCATAACAACAATATTACAATTAATGGTTTTTTTTTAGTCAATATTACAATGGTTAAACTCAAATCTAAACAAGAATACATAGTTCATTATTGAATATCTTTATCTTATTATTAGAGATAACAAACTCCAAGCGAAAAAAGACATAAAAAGAAGGGGAACATGTGAATAAAAAGGGACTGATGATTGGCTGAAAGTAAATATTAGATTGACCAGAAGCAAAATTATTGAGGAATTTTTTATTTTATTTTATTTTATTTTATTTTTGGCTTGAAAATGGCTAGCTTTGGTAAATTAATTGGGTAGGTTCATTTGTATGTACCCATTATTGACGCAGTAGATTTGATAAATTTGAATTTTTCAAAGAAAATGCTGATAGGTTACAGTCAAATTACCACTGCTTCTCATCTAGAAAATTTGAAGAACTGCTCATCAAGAATTTCTTTGACCAACTAATGTGTCTGTTTTAGTGATATTTTACATCAAGTGAAAAGTAACAATCAAGTTATGCCAAATTTCCATCACTTTCACTTCGTCTTTCTCGTTTCTATTGTCATGTCACAAATTTAATGAGGATAAATGATCCCATTTTATTTGGCCATGGCCGGCAAAGATTCCGGCAGTTAGCAAAGAGTAGTGATACTCTTCACGGCCAGTGCTTTAATTAATTTTATTTCTCTGTGTCCTCTATACCATTTTAATGTATGATCGTGTTTATCATAGTGAATAATATCGTAGTACTAATTTGTGAATCCAAATTTTATCTGGAAATCAGTTCTTTTATTATGCTTCTACTCCACAAATGATTATTATGTTTGTCCTATTAAAATGATTTTGAAACACCAAAACCAAAGTAATAATTTCGCTACTCTTTTGTTGTTGGCATCTTAGTATTCATCTATTTTTGTAACTAGTGCTTATGTTTTATGCCCTCGTCCTTTTCTTCTCCATCCAAAGTTCCAACTAAGAAACACAAAAATAGACATCTACATATAAATTAATTAGTCTTGTTGAAGGTTAGATTAATCCGCCAAATAAAGACCAGCACATTACTAATTTTATTCATACTACTGAACAGAAAAAAAAAAAAAAAAGGTAGGAGAATCTCACCTCCCAATAGAGTCGAAGCCCCCCTCACAACAATGTTTCTGTATTTTGTAAATATAATACTTACCAAAAAAAAAAAAACCAAAATGTTTGAATCCCACAAAGTTAGCACAAAAAAACGATGTCTCTTAAAGTGCAAATACAATTTGAAATGGTCGTAATAATTAACAATAATGCATCGTATTTATCATCATCTCAATTAAACAACATTTAAAAATTAATTAGCACAATCAAGACTGGTCAAATTCAAAAACAATGTGACAAAAACAATGTCTTTCTCTCTTATCCTTTTTCTTACACAAACAATATGATCTTCATTTGTAAACTAGTTGTTGATAATACCAATTAACTAAGTTCTTAGTCATCTTTTAAAATCTCTTCCAGCTGCAAAGTCATGTCCAAAGTTCATCCCGAAGAAAATCAAAAGAAAACCAAGAACAGAATATTGAAGGATGATAAAGCTGTTTGTTACAAGAGCCCTCTCCAGGGGAGAACCCATGAAAGTCCTTACCCTTCTATACTCACCGTTTGGAAAAGATCCAGCATGAGTTTCCAAGGAACAGATGGTTTCACCGTCTTCGACCGCCGCGGAAGGCTGGTTTTCCGGGTTGAAAACTACACCCGAAAGTACACAAGTTGGTCGTTTTCCGGGTGTTCCGGCAGCGGTGGCCATAGCCTTCTCCTCATGGATGGCTCAGGAAAAGCCCTCCTCACATTGAAACCACAGGTAATAAGTATACATATTATTCCGTCTGTTCAGAAATGATTGTACAATTTAAAATTTCACTTTTTAATACATACTAAATGTACTAAATATAAAGATTAAAAAATGATAATTTTTCAAAATACGTAATATGAATCTACACATTTAGTTTCGTCGACTGAATAATCCAGTCAAAAAAATTTAACAGTCACAACGTAATTTCACATTCTAATGCCCTGATGCCCTATAACCTGTTAGATCAGATCATTGGCTGAACTGTTCAGTAGCACGGCAATTCATAATTTTAAAGCACTATTAATTCTTAGCTACAATGCAGCTGATGAGCCTCCAACATGAGTGGACAGCTTATAGAGGCGAACTAAACCAACACGGCAGCAGCACTTCATCCCGGCCGGAATTTACGATGAGGAGGCCTACTTCATCTTTGTTGAGTAGTACTATGAATATGATTGTCGCCGGGAATTTCAATAGTAATTCTTCATGCGAGGCTGAAGTCTTCTTTGTTGGGGAAGCAAAAGGCGCCGGCGAGACGACGATGACGACCGGCCGGACGTCGTCTTCGATGACACCTGATCTAACAGTACAAGGTTGTTTCAGGAGGCGAAATTGCAAGATCGTTACGACGGACGGCGGTGGCCGGCTGGTGGCGACCGTATCCCGGAAAAGAATTAACTCCACCCTTTTGCTAAGCGATGATGTTTTCCGGCTGAAAATACAACCTGGATTTGAACACGACGTCGTCATGGCCTTTGTCATCATCCTTGATCGTATTTGTTACAAATCTTATACACCCATTCTTTGTTCTTGATTAATTACATATATCGAATATTTTCTCCCTTTTCAAAAAAAAAAAAAAAATTCTCCGGTAGTATTTGTAAAGTACAATTTTGAATCAAATTTTAGTGTTACTAATCTACAAATATTGATTAACACTGCACATTTCTAACTAGTGTGTTTTTTTTACTCTCTTCTCCCTCTGAAATGAGTTCGAATTTTTTTATTTATTGTAATAAAAATAAAATTTATCATTATGAGTGATTTTGGCTAATTTGAAACACAAAATGAGATAGGCAATTTATCTGGTGAATCATGAGACATGAATACAGATGATCAATTTTTCCATATTGATTTCAGTTACGTTGAACAGTCCTTCCAAATTCTAAGGAAGAATGAAAGCCATTGAACTTTCTTTTGGAACATTTATAAATCCGGCAAATAAAATTAATTATTTGGACGATAGGAAATTATTTAGTCGCATAATAATAAAACTTACAAATATTATACGACTCTCGTGTTTTTTTTTTTTTTTGCCTACTCATTCATGCAAATACCAATCCACCTAATTGTTTCTTGCTTTTTTTTTAAATGATAAATACATATTGTTTCCGACCTGAAATGATTGTCTAGATTGGAATTTTACATAATTTAGTACAAATTACATTAAAAAGAAAAATTTAAGAACAGAGTAACTAATTGGTTTTCCTCTTTTTTTTTATGTCGCCATCTTCTATTCCATTGGTTTTTTTTTTTCTTTGAAAGGTTCTATTCCATTGGTCAGTTAATTCAATTTCTCCCATTTATATTCCTTTTTTTAGTTAATCCTAATTTTTTGGGAAATTATACAATTGAGCAATCTATTAATAGAAGATCAAAGAGGACATACAGAAGGGAACGTGAAGATAAAAAGGGATTGAGGAGGAATTGTTGAAAATTAGTAGCCTAGCAGAATAATTGATAAATTTTTGTCAGGATCAAACACAATTTATAGGTGGATACAGTATCTTGTCATAATTTTATACTTCCTCCATCCCAAAAAAAAAAAACGTTTTATTAGCTGAATCGATTATTCAACTTATAAAACTTAGTATTATTTTTTTTATCGGATAAAGTTTTATATCGGAAAAACTTACTAGGAACGATATCGAATTACCATTTGCATCAGTGAAGCTAACACTCAATTCTTTCTATGACGATGATGTTCTACTGAGTCGTTCGAATTGATTGTTTACACAGTTTATTCATAATTTTATTTTTATTTTCTTATTCAACTTTCTTTTGGAACTCTTTTTTTCTCCTTCACTGTTTATATTATTATTATAATAAACTTTAGGAGTGCTTGTTTAGAGGGTTTGATACCCATTCTATGGGTTTATATCTTTTTGTGGTGCTTGGTTCAATAATTTGGAATGGACTGGCCCACAAAAATGACTTGCACTCCTCTTCTTAAAATTCAAAATTGGTACTTTACATTAGGCCATTTGCATATTTTTATCCTTTACATCAACATTTTTCTATTTTGATCCTCTACTTCTACGTTCATAACTTATTTGGTCCTTTAGTACTATTCTGTCAGTTTGACCATTTCGGACATCAGTCAACAGGGGTATTTTCAGTATTTTAAAAAAATTCAAAAAATATTTTTCATTGTATAAAATAATAATAATAAAACTTAAATAATAAAATAATAAAATTAACAAAATGTTAAAAAATCTGAAATTGGTCATTTACATTAGGTCAGTTGTACATTTTTGTCATCTACATTAAACATTTGTCTGAAATGGAACTCTATATTTACGTTCATAACTTTTTTGGTCCTTTGACACTATTACAGCAGTTTGAGCGGTTTTGATATCAAGTAAACATGGGTATTTTCGGTATCTCGTAATTTTTTTTCAAGAAATTATTTTATGGATTAAATTGATAACAAAAAATTTAAACAATAAAAAGTTAATACATAATAAAATTAAATATAAATAAATTTTTTCTATAAAAAATTAAAAATTTATTTTTTTCACTCTCTATGGTCCACTGTAAGTAAGGCCCTCAAACTCATTTTTTGATGTAGCAACAATGAAGATTTCAAAAAAAAAAAATCGTTCTCATTTTACGTTTAACCGTCCTTTTTATCCCTCCCTTGGTGTTATTTCTTCTTTTTATTATTTACTTACGACAATAATCTTTTTTATTTTTGAAGCAGATTACAATAACCTTTCGTGATTTATTTAGTTGAATTACTCAAAATAGTACTTTTATCCAATTTTTTCATAAAGAAAAGGAAAACAGAAATTAAAACCTATATTTTCTCTTCATCTTCATCCCGTACATTATTCACATCCTCTATCATCCTCCTTTCACCACTACCTCGTACATTGTTGGTTGGAAAAATAAATCCCTGCGTTAGCCACCAGATCGGGAATTTTCTGAACCAACCAACAATGTACGGGATAATGGAGAAAGGATGATGATAGAGGACATTGACATATTTAAATTACATAAAAGTACTATTTTGAGTAACTGAACTAAATAAATCACGAAAGATTACTGTAATACTCTTCATAAGAAAGATTATTGTACTAAGTAAATAATGAGAAGAGAAAATAACACCAAGAAAGGGGTAAAAAGTAAAATGGTGAAGAATTTTTTTTTTTAAATCTTCATGTTTTTGCTACAACAAAAAAAGAGAGTTTGGGGGGTTTTACTTACAGTGGGATTTGCGCAGAGTTAAAAAGTGAAAAGTAAATTTTTAATTTTTTAATTTTTCATAGAAAAGTTTTCTTTATATTTAATTTTATTATGTTTTAACTTTCTATTGTTCAAATTTTTTGTTATCATTTTAATCCATAAAATATTTTCTAGAAAAAAAAATTTACGAGATACCGAAAATACCCATATTCACTTAATATCAAAATCGCTCAAACTGCTGTAATAGTGTCAGAGAACCAAAAAAATTATGAACGTAAATGTAGATGTCTATTTCAGACAAATATTTAATGTTGATGAAAAAATGTACAACTGACCTAATGTAAAGGACCAATTTTGGAATTTTTAACATTTTATTAATTTATTATTTTATTATATAAATTTTATTATTATTATTTTATTCAATAAAAAAATAATTTTTAGGATTTTTTAAAATACCAAAAATACCCCTATTGACCGACGGCCGAAATGGTCAAACTGACGGAATAGTACCAAAAGACCAAAAAAGTTATGTACGTAGAAATAGAGGACCAAAATAGACAAATGTTGATGTAGACCAAAATGTGCAAATGGTCTAATGTAAAGAAACAATTTTGAATTTTACTCTTCATTCCACTCTAATTAGGTGGGTTTGATAGAAAGAAAAGAATTTTTGTTAACTTTTCCATCATTCTCCCCCCTTCTTCTTCCTCCTCTCAGCCATCATCCTTCTCCTTCTTTCTCTTCGGCCTCCACCTTCATCCCTCTTTTTGCAAAAACCAAAATTATTTCATCATCAGTTTTTTTAATTCTCCCTATATCCACTCTTCTCAGTAACATCATCACCCTTTATTTTTGCCATCAAAATATCTGCCTATCTTCTCCATCTCTAACTCTACACAAAGACATATTTCCAGATCCATTGAAATTTATGCCCAAAAAATTTGGAACTTTTCAAGCCATCAGTTCCAACTTTTTATCTTCTTTCTCTATTCTTTTATTGGTGGTTAATTTCATCTTTGTTACAATGGAGCTAAAATCTCTGTTCCTTTAGTTCTTTGAATTTGAATAAGAAAAATTAAGAAAATTGAAAAATAATAAAAATTCATTTGACTTAACTTTGTTGGTAGCATTGAGATATGATTGTCTCTGTTGATGGAAATTTTCATTCACTTCTGATCGGTCAAGCCACCGATGGCGGATGAGGAGAAATCAATTTTCTATGACAAAATGAGTAATGTTTAAGGATAAAAAGAATATTTTATCTCATTTCCCTTTTCCTAGATTTTCACTAACCAAGCAATATAAATGGCAATGATAGTTTATCAACAAAAGTCATAGAAATTAGAATACTATCAAACCCTCTTTCTATCATATCCTAACTAGTGAACCAGGCACCCCCTAATTCATTTGTTTAACTTATGCTAGTTATGGGCCCGTGCGTTGTCCGGATTGTGAAAATATTTCGGCATAATTTGTACAGGAAAAAAACTTGATAAAAAATGAGTAATAAAAATACGACACATATATTTTTAAAATTTTAGAAAAAAAAGATTTCAAACAGTAAGTAAATACAAAAATCTGTAATGGCCAGGCATTTTTTTATTTATTATGATTAAATATGGTAACACATATGTAATATGTTAGAACATATAAACGGGCACGACATCTTTATTATGATGTATGGTCTCATTTATACATCGCTTAGCAACACAGTCATCTCATCAATCTGGAACACAAAGTTATTGTAGAAAAAAAAAAAGATGAACTACCTGAAGTGACTAATTCACCTTTCAAACGGAACGGAAATTGACTTTGCTTATGCACCAGACTGCTGTCACGACTTCTAATTTGGGTTATTTATAGTATATAAGATAACTATGGTCGTAGGGTTTAACATGTTATGGGATATTTTTGGTAAATATTTTATATGAGTAATTATATGATTTTGTGGATATGTTAAAACTTTAGGCTTTACTGATAGAATTTGGAGCAATTAATTAACATATTTGGGGAGTTTGTGAATATGGACGGAATATTATTCTAGTTAATTTATCCATAATTTTTAAAATAAATTTCATTTATTAATTTTCGGATGTGGGAGGAAATTAGGGTGATCAATTTAAATCTCATTATTTTTGAATTTTAAAATCATATCATAATGTGCCATAAATTTGGAAGTCATATTTGGAAATAATATTTATTGTGCTTTTTTGAAAATTCTAAAAGCGTTTAGAAACGTTTTAAAATCACGGATGATGTGCCATACGTCCGGACCATGTTCAATGTTAACTAATTATTATGTTTTTGATTTACCTTGGTTAATGAAATATATATGAGTAAATAAGTTAAATTAAATAGTTACCAATTTTTTTTACTATATTTAATTAGGCTTGATTTTTATGATTGTTTGATTGGACATCTCATAATGTGACACATGTCTGAAAAGCTTATTCTCTTACTATATAGGATTCTGTGTTTTTCCCCCCTTACCAGTTCAATGTCTCAGAACTCCTGGATGAACTACTACTACCGATGGCATCTTTTTCTGTTTTATTTCGATGATTTTTCGTAAAAAAAAAAAATTATATTCTTTCATTTAATAAGATATCTCCGAAGAGACTTTCATCGTATTTGTAAGAACTAAAGGCAATTTCAAAGGCGTAAAGAAAACTCAGTAATGCCTTGAGGGCCATAAAAAAGAACACCAGAACAGTTAAAATAGAAATGAAAAGTTGAAGAGATGAAAAGAGGTAGGATGAGCAACGCAATCATAATATCATATTGAAGAGATTCCAAAGATACAGTTGGACACCGAAACATCAGCCATTTAATCTGTATACAACATGATCATACATACTACGAACAAAATAGGCAGTTCTGGGATGGAACTCGCCCTACAACATGATCATACATACTACGAACAAAATAGGCAGATCTGGGATGGAACTCGCCCTACATGTTGAAAATAATACAACACACTACACTTGTACTTCTCGCTTTCGGCTAACTAAGAACGATGCGTGAAACGCATGACTATCTTGTCTGGTTTATACTCTGGCTACCTGCATAGAGTTCCAATCAATGAAAACTGTGAGCTCGTATGCAAGAGCCAAGAACAACTCATCTCTCCAAATTCAAAACAACGCAAAGGTAATCTATATGGACAAAGATCTACAACTTAGCTTACTGTAATATCTGATAACTTGTCTGTCCTGGACAGACAGTAGCTTTTGCTGACAAAACCAAATTCTCATTGATTCATCTTTTGGTGGTCATTCACGACAGCTGATCAAATCACCCAGCAGCTAATTGAATCAACTATAGTTCTGAGTATGCCATCTTTTAACATTCAAATTCATCGATTAATTCATAAATGCTTCTAGTCCATCAGAAGTCAAGATTATTGCGGTTACCTTTTCACCTCTAAAGGTTAAGTTTTGAAACCAGTTATATATACTCTATTCTAAACAGCCTACATAGCACACATATAATGGCTCTAGCATTATAAATCCAGACTTTCAACCGAAGGATAGTGAACAACTGAAAAGAGTCTCTTCCTTTTTCCAAGTCAGGAGTCAGGGTAGTTCAGGAAAAACATGTTTTAACTCAGTAAAAAAAATGAAGTTCTTAAAAAATTGATGAATGCTAGAGGTCACGACTTTGCAATTTCAGGATGCAGCTTATAATGACAGAAAGTTAAGAAATGATTGAGGCATGTGAGGTAAGCACACACCTTCTCTTTGACTTTGAAGTTCCTCTAGTGGACATATAACCACCAACACTTCCTTTTCTTGTGCTTCTCTTCTCCCCCGTGGATTTAGTTGTGCCTGAAAGATGACTATGGTTATAAATGTCAATATACCCACAGATTAGAAATCTATGAAGGTTTTACTACCACTTTGATCACTGTATGGCGATTGAACTTCATCTTCATCTGATCCAGATGCTGTCACGTCACTAGCAGGGTCGGAAGTTGGACTTGAATCAGGAGTAGTTGAATCTGGTTGTGAAGATTGCGGTAAATCATCAATAACTTCACCATCTGTTGATCCTGCTTGTGAAGATTCTGGTAAATCATCAATAACTTCACCGTCTGTGGATAGAGGTAAAGCATAGCATTAGATGATACAGAATTCTTAAAGAGCAATGTATGAACTCATACAATGGAGAAAACATCACTGCATTGGATTGGGGAGGTGGGGGTGAACGCCTTTTACTCTTGACTTACAGGCAAAAGAAGTGCACAGTGAAATATGCCTTATCAACTGGATACGTTCAGACTTACAGGCAAAGAAGTGTGTGATGAAGTATGCGGATGCTCTTAAAACTGTAGTGTGTTTATAACTTTGTTTCTCACAAGGATTCACAGGAAGAGAACTTGTGTACAGAGTCATACCAATTTTGTGCCATTAAGAGCAGGTTTAGTTTGGGCTAAATTTCAGAAGACAATGGAAACCTATTAAAGGGAGAGAACTAGTGTACAGCAGAGTCATCCCAATTTTGTGACATTAAGAGTCTCAGGTTTAGTTTGGGCTAAATTTCAGAAGACAACGGAAACCTATAAAAACGACATGTAGAGTCTTATGATACAGCATTTTATTCATCCAATGTTATAAACATTGACACATAAACAGTCAGTTTTGGCTATCCAGCATGTTATTCCATCCCCAACTGAATCTTTAAGAAGCACCAGAACCAAACATTTAGGCGGCACGGTTGATATGAGTGCACGGATCTTACATCTTACTCCCTAGTGAGAAAATACAAGCAACCTTCAAATTTCAGAATCTGGACAATGCACAAAGTTCGAATATTCCTCTGCGTGCTAAGGCCAAGACTTGAACTAATTACTTAATAAGATTTCTCAAGCAACTATCTCTAATACTAAAACTCTCCCTTTGAAGGGCTTCTTCTTTTTAACTTTTCCCAGTGTAAGAGGGATGAGAAAGTTATTTTATGTTTCAAGAAAAGATATTTAATAGGTAGCAGGGTTGGGTCATTGTTATTACCTCAGGTTAGGGATCCAAAACCTTGTCGGTGTAATCCAACTATCGGAAAATATAAAATAAAGAAGAGGAAGAAGAGGAAGAAGAAGGAGAAGAAGATATTTGAATGTAAATCACCCTCCTCCAGAGCAACATAATATCAATATCCATAACCTTAACATTCTTAGAATATAAAAGCTCGAATAAGTAGTAGAATTTAGTTCAGGTGCAGGAAAATAAGCATAGCTCTAAGCAGGATAAAGGGGAACTATGGGTCAATCTATCATTAGTTTTCGTTTTATACAGCTGTGTCAACATGAGTACAAAAATACAGCATATTTAATAAAAAATAAGCACTCAAACCTGTTTAGGAATAACATATCTACAGTTACACACAAAGTTCAACATATTAGTTACACACAAAGTGATCAACTAACAGGAGCTGCTGCAGAGTTTGTCAGAACAATCAAATTTGAGTTCTGATATGGGGCTGACCCAGAGAGAAAAGGACAAAGATACTCACAATTAAGGATGAAAAACATTCTTCTTTAAATCAAACGATTAGAAATATTACCTTCTCCTCTCTCTGATTCTCCACCTTCCTCTCCATTCTCAACTGTCACATTGCGTCCCATCCTTTCGACCCTCTCCTTATGAGCTTGAGCATTCATTGCAGTGAGTTCTTGATCTTTCTTTTCAGTGTGCAGCTTACAGATCTTGGCCTCAAACTCTTCAATGCATGACTTGAATTCTGGTTTGGCAGATTTCTTTCCCTACATAAAGCTCAACAAAATTTATAGTTACTAGTTATTAAAAAAAAAATTAAAAAAAAATTATAGTTACTAGCAAAATACATCTGAAAGGAAAAGAAGAAATACCCAAAACTGGTTGTGGGTTTTGGAGGAGGAAAAACGAAGAGTGATGAAGCTATTTTTAACTTAAGGCAGGTAAACCTTGTTTATTACCTTATTAATAATGCTTCTTAAATGATCCATGACAGTGTCATTAGATAAGGCATGCTCGAAGGATTTTAAAGACTCCATCAGCTTTTTCATGCTCTTCTCAGAAAACGCAAGCTGAGAGAGGCAGTAAGACATGTATTCCCATTGCTTAGCATCTGCACAAAAGAAACCTCTTTCATCTTGTTACCACGAAGTAAAATGCTAGAGAAACTGTAACAAGTCCTGATTAAATATTCGCTTGATATATCATCAATATTAGTATCCAGTTATTAATTAACAATAGAGGAAATACTCTAGTTGGAAAGGAAGAAACAGAAACACAAAAGGGAGACGTGCAATAAAATGTGATATAGGCCAACGGGCCATCCTACTATCCATTACATCAACCATGAGATTTTTGGGTATAGTAAAAGTTGTGGAGTGAATCATTTCACGTATCTAATTGAAATAGATGATTCAAGCCTCTTCTGACTATAGAGAGGAAAATGGAAAAAGGAGTTATAAATCCATTACTTTTCAAACTCTTATTTCATTGTAACAAACTTCTTGGTGATTTAAATCCAAAACATATTCTGTTGCTTCTCATTTTTCAGAGGTCATTATCTCAACTCTTACATAGAGTGGTATATCTAGATAAATAAATTTACAGACCATAAATGTAAACAGTTTAAAGATGTAGAAATGGAAACTGGTTAAGACTACTCTGGAAAACTTATATTATATTTTCAGTGTGGATATCCTCATCCCTTGTTCAGCTTGGACAGAAAATCAGTTGAGAGAAAAAAAGACGTTGAGAAGAGGATAGAATAAGCAAAATTCAAAATTGCGAGAAAATTTAGATATCCAACAGCTGTACCTGTAACACCACCAAATCTGTGGCAAAGTTTCTCTACAAGAGACTCCATTTGTTTGTCCTGAAAAATTTGTTAGTAAGATCCTAAAGCAAATTAACTAGGAGATCAAGATAAAGTGAATTATTAAGTACCCTCTTGATGGAAGCTATTAAATACTGCATGATGTTGCAGAATGATTCTCTTGTCAGATTACGACTACATAATTTGCCCAGGATATCTGGAAGTAGGTTGTATACAGGATTTGTGCCTGCAATCACACAACAAACACTTCATTTCCATTGGACTCCTGCTGCATAAGCAGCAAGCAAGAGGTTCCTTAGTTGTGGCATACTGTACCTTTCTTGGACAACTCATGAAAGAAAAGTTTAGCTAAATTGGATATCCTTTCATCCTCATCTTCAAGGCATATAGCCATTTCATTGATGTAGCCTTTCACCTGAGCAGTTTAAATACCACAAGTAAGCACACATTTTAAGAATATCAGCAAACAAGAGAAACACAGAACTTTGTTAGTATCTCTTCAACCTTCATCATATCATTCAATATTAGGTGAGAAAGAACCAAGACTGCATTTTTCCGGACAGAGGCTGATGGATCTCTTAGCCGAGCATACATGTTCTCCGTCCATGGCTCCAATAAATTAGGAAAACGGACAGCCAAATCCCCAAGAGCAACAGTACAATTTGAACGAACAGTTTCTGAAGGTGCATTCTCAACAACAGTAAAGAGAAGCTGAAGATTTGCTTCACTGCGAAGTTGAAAGAACAGATTAAGGCACAGTACTCCCCAGATACTACATCAACAAGCAGTAAACTCAGAGAATAAAACCTACCAGAAGCTGGAATCAATAATCATTAACCGGCATAAGGCAAGCATCCCAGATGCCTGTAGTTCTGGATACTATAAGAGTTACAAAAGGATAAACACATGTCATTTATCTTGAATAGCTGCATTGAGGCAAAGATCAAAATCTGGAGATAATGTGAACCAGTAGGACACGTCACTGTTCACTGACAATAGGAGAGATTTTTCAACTAAGTTACAAGGAAACTAAGACATGGTGAAGCTCAATTTGAAACATCAAAGATAAAAAATACTAAGATGCAACCCTACGTGACATTGCCCAGGTGAATTATATCACGTGTCTCCGTGTCTCATTGAACAGCATCTCCTCACCAATATTTAACGGTGTCCTGTCATTTTAACCTCTCCAAGTTTTTCAGGTTTTCTCTTTCCCATTTTAGTTCATAGTTCCCAACACTCTAAACACCATGTGTCCTTCAAAGACCTCTTCTGCACATTACTTTAACCATGTTTCTCTCATTTTCTCCTTGGCGCCTCTCTTTCTAATGCATTTGCCATTAATTCAATCTAGTCTGCAGCATCTGCCCATCCCATTAAACATTCTCATATTTGCTCGCTTTTTCATGTTCACAAACACTCCAACCGTAAAACATCATTAGTCTAAGGCTCTTCATACAAACATGTCTTGTTCAATATTGATAACACATGCACTATCTGTGAATCAGCTAATGATGACTTTAGTATGCTTGTAGAAAACTAATAGATTCCCGAGCTAGACAAGTAGGTATCATAGCATCAAAAAAAGTGGGAAGCGGAGACCAAAATGAAACTGGAAGTTGTTAATAAGACCTGCTTTATTTGCATTTACATGAAAGTATGCGTTTAAACAGTGAGCAATGGAGACGGTAGATCGAAATGGCCAATCTCACATAGTGGGATGGAGGCCAAGTTATTTTTTGTCCTCTTTTTTCCTTCAACTACTACCTAAACTAAACTGTTATAGAGCGTGGTAGATGCACTTCTCAACTTATTTTTAGCCTGCCTGGGTCATATTTGCATTAGTTTCATAATTCAACTATTTCTTAGAGTATGGATCCAAGATATTTCAAACTTTTAGACATAGGTAAATCATGCGCACCAAATTTCACAAATTGCCAGGCTCTAGAATTACTAAAGTGGGATCTATTATATAAATTCAGTTCAGCTCTTCTTTTGGTAAAACAATTTGATTCCACTCCCTCCCACCAGACTTCCAAATTGGCATTTACTTGCATCTGACTAATCAAAACAGATATCATTTGCAGATAAAATAGATTCAAGAATGACTTGCTGGAGATGCTTAGCTCATTCCTTATTAATAGAAAAGAAAGGGGCTAAGTTGATCCTGATCCACGCAATGTCCCTACTTCCTTGTGTCACTTTCATACATATCCAAATTGTGCCAGCCTAATGAACTCTTACATATGCCTCTAAATCATAAATCACATGCAATCTTCAAAACTATGGCTATCAGTACTGTTTAAAAGACCCTATACATGCATATTTACCTGCCACTTATCTATTGCGTAACCAGACGACCATGGAAATCAAACCAAAGCAAATTAGAAAAGTTGTGGTATATTGACACTATAGTTCAGCGTCCAGAGTAATAAGAGATCACCTTTTGCATTAAAGCGAAATTCCGGCATAGTTTGGAAATGAATGGGGCACAACAACCAATCAAGTTCTTCTCAGAAGCACCACCAGAAACAATTTCTTTCTCAGCAGTATCAGAAAGAGTATCAAGCAATGCATCATCCGATGCTGCAAGACCCAACTCTGCACTTATGTTATTATCCTGCTACACAAGATTGACGCAAACAATTCAAATATCTGTTAGTTGGAAGTAATAACTGACACACTTAAGCATTTACATCACCTTCTTTGCCTCCAAACTCTCGTCAACACCATGAGCTTGCTGTCCTTCAGCAACTAGTTTGTCTCTGTTACCTTTCCCTTTCTGAACTTTTCGCACACAAGAATCGATGTAGACTAGATGGTTCATCGCAACATGACTTACAACAAACAGAAATCGGCTAAGTTTAGTCACTTGAACAATAGTGGCTACATTTGTGCTTCCGTCAACAACATCATTTCCCAACTCATCTCCTCCATAGCCACCAAATACAGTATTGAAAGATTTTTTAACCAGAGAGGATGCCAATATCTCGGGAGTCGGATGAATCGTGTACATAGTAGCTATTGCTCTATCGGCAGCTGCATACCATGTGTGTTCTGGGAGCCAAGAACCTGTAACTAAACTATCCAAAATTCCAAATAACCGGCTTCCATTAGTTGATAACAATCTTTTCCTGTCCTCTTCAGACAGTCTTTGAAGTGCCACACATGCCGTCCTAGCAAGCAAAGGATCCACTTTTGCCCATCGACCAAACCCAATATCAACAATATCCTGCAAGTGCGAACTGAGAACCGCAGATGATAATTTTGCTGCCATACACAAGATAGACAAAGCACCGCGGCTTTGCTCTGCAGTGGTCCCATTGATATTGAAGCAGAAAACATCCCAAAGGGCTGTTAACTGGAAACAGAAAGCACTAACTGATCAGATGTCAAGAGGAAAAAATCATGTCCAGAAAACGAGTGAAAAAGATAATCATCAGATATGACAAGATCAGAGACAATTTCACAGGATGTTATGCAACCACCTAAATGCTTAATGTACTAGTGACTGTTTGAGCCTTTCAATTGCAGTTTCATTTCACAGAACTTGATGTGCAATGTAAACTTTAAATAAACCTATTGAAGAAAGAGACACAATTTTAAAGTCCTGCAGAAATTCATAACATCACACAGTAAAGACAGTGCATACGGGGTACTACAATGGGTCCCAATTTCAAAAGGTTCACGAAAGCTAGTATTGCCATTGGGTCAGAGACAAATGAAGTATTAGACACTGGACCTCCCAAATACCTCAAATCACAAAAAGGATTTCATTTTCCCATGCCCTTGATCTAACTAGAAATTTCACAGAAAAAGTTGATTTAAAAATAAAAGGGAAAAAGAACCTTGATTATGTCAATTCAAATTTTGAATTGAAATGCTTCTCAGGAAAGTAGAAAATAACATTAGTCTTTTAGAAGAATTAAAAAGTCATCAAGCATTTCAGTGGGCATCAAATGTTCTTCAAACACAGTACATCATCTCAACCCTTAAAGAGATCCAAGGAGGCAATGCCCAAAAAATACAAAAAAAACAAAAAAAAAAACATAACCTCAATATTCTAGCAACAAGGAAAACATGTTTTATCCTATACAGCTTCCACAATTCAAACTTTTCCAATAGTTCAGGTATCTCTAATTACTAAAATTTACAGGTACCTTTTCAAAGAAAAAAAAAAACATTTTTCCAATAAGGCCTCTCTAATTTTGTAATACAAGTATCTTTTCGCTCTCTTTTAATTTTTTTGGCTGTATCTCCTCTTCTCACTAGTCATGCTGAAGTCAAGAGGATTTGACAATCTTTGCAACTGTTGAAGTCTTATAATTGGATTAAAATCAAAAGCAAAAAGTATCAATATAAGTTCCAGAAGTAAATACTGAGCAACCAAATTCCTTATCAAGAAAAGTTTATCAACAGATTTGAAAATCAATCTACTTAAATCATATACACTTCCAATTGACCAGGGAAAGAAAAACCTACCGTGCTAGTACTTATGTCGCCCTTGGATACTAAAGCCCCAATAATAAATTCCAACGCGGCAAGATCTCCAATGTTTGACTCTATTGCAAGATTCAGAAGATTCTTGGCAGTTTCCAAGGGATTTTTCCGTAAATATATTGTGATAAAAGCGCTCTCAACAGCCTCATAAATAGATTTGTCCTGTGAAAATACCTGTAACAGAGTGCAGAGCGTAGAATCAGGAAAATAGATCATAGAAGATAACTGCCAACATTCAAACTCCAATGTTATCACCAAAAAGATTTACCAAAGGCAACATCTTGCGGAGGCATGCTTCCGATCCATCTATCTGAAACTGTCTGCACCTCATTAGCAATAGAATGCTGTTCTCAACATCACTTACTGATGATGAAGCCATTAATTGGACAAGGATTGGCATTGTCGCAGTCACACGCTTGGAAAACCTCAAACCTGCCTCCAGTGATGCAACTAACGTTCTGGTTTGCTCCAAATTCCCAACATCTGGAACAGAATTACCCTTCTGGCCAATGTCATCTTCTTGAGACAAATAGCTCTCAGGCATGCTGTCATTGTTTAGCTTTTGCTCTAATTCTTCCACTTCGTTATGGACCTCGCCATCTCCATTTTTGGTGTCAGATTCAGAATCTAAGCCATACAGAACGCTTTTTGACACAGCCTCTGGTTCAAGCTCACTTAAACGCTTCTTATATTGTTCAAGAGTCGCTTCAAAAGAAGACACCCGAAGTTGTGGACCAAATGGGTTGTGCTGTAACATTGTGATGAGCAAATTAAGAGCTGATTTTCTGACAATGGCACTTTTATCCTCCAATCTTCCAGCAGCTACTGCAGCAACCTCGTTCCATAAGCCAATTGAAACAGAATGCTGTTCACATAATTCTGCCCAAACCTGGAGCACACGACTCCTAGTATAAGCCGAGACATCCTTACACCTTTCCAGCAAGATTTCCAACATGGCCTGCTTTGTTCGCAAGCGGGTAGATTTTGATGCCACTTCACCTTCAACATCACAAAAGGCCTTCGCAACCAATTTCCCCAACACCCCAACAAGAGCATTCCTTATTTTATATGAGTCTCCACCAAAATGTGGGACTAACAATCCAATGTTTGTTGAAACCAACTTGGGCAACCTATCGGCTAGCTCTACAAGAAACCTCCCAACATTTTCTGCCCCAACTGTGTCCTTCACATAATCCTTTGGATTTGTCCTTCCTATTTCTCTAACTAGAGAAGTGGCAAGGGTTCCATCAGAATATTTCTTTTCGGCCGCGGCAACAGATTCAGCAAGATGGGTGACGACGAAATCATATTTGTGTATCAGATGTAAAATCGACGCACATGACTGAGCAAGATAGTGATACTTAGTGGCACATGTCCCCACTATACGGCATAAAGCATCCCTTGTGTCCATATCCTTCAATAGTGTTGCATTCTCAAACATCGAGAATGCATTTCTAAGTAAAGGCAGATAAAATCATCATCAGTAAACCTGTAGGCTCATATCTAACATCAACATTAGTAAATCATTCATCAACTTACTTCACAATAAAAGACAAGTAATTTTCATCCAGATCTGATGATCCAAAAAGCAATGAGAGGTTAATCTCTAGTGAATTGGCTAGTACAGCCAGTATTCTTCCCCTCTGAGGTTCCCAGTTCCAAGAATGTACAGGCAATTTCTTCCTGCCACTAGCTGCCACCTGCAAAAATTAGATATCAAATGCATCTTTTCGTCTGCCCTGAAGATGCTACAAATATGAATACTAATCTGCATTCACTAGTGAAGGTACTTCATACTAGCTAACTAACTTCTCACTTGAAAGTATGACTGTAATTAACAAATGCACTACCGTTGCTGCATTCAATCACCTGTATGTTCCAGACATATTGCTGGCATTTGCAACTACAGCAACTAAAATTCAACCTGGTTGCTAGACTGCCAGTTATGCCATCATTAAGGCAGTCGTAAATTACATAGACACAGATAAATCTTAAACATTCAATAGTGACCAGAAAACTTCTACCATATATACTATTAAACTTTGTACTTGTACCTACACTTAGACACATACGCATAAGTTATAAATTTACTACTGAACGATTTGGTTCCCTAATATTACAATCAGTAGCACCGTTAAAACTATAAAAATAAATAAATGAAGAATTAAAAGAAAAACTCTAAAACCTAAAATGACACCATCAAACCACCTCCATAAGCCTTAAATCCTCAAAGCAGATGATATTTCCTACCGTGATTATTTTCCATTTTTAAAAAAGGGAAAAAAGAGGAAAAGAAAAACACAGGAAAAGGAAAAAAAAAAAAAAAGAAAAGAAAAAAAGAGCATACGTCCGCCATCCAACCTAGCTAAGCAATTTGCTGTAAGCTGTAAGAACCAACAAAATAACAGTACTCAAGTGTTGCACATAATATGAAACTATGAATTCTACCATTTTAGAGGTGACATTTGCAGCAGCTGCATGAGCTTCCTCAATGAGAACAATATGCACAAGGAAAAAGGTGTAGATCTTAAACGCATTCCGAAGTGACGCCACTTTGTCCGCAACTGTCCCATCAGCCATTTCATCATCAACAACCTCGCCATCATCATTATCAACGTCCGGTGTCCTGCTCCGAGAGGCCCGAACCAGGGCATCAACATTGGGAAGTAAAACGCTAAGGTTGGACCTTAAAGCTTCCACCAAATTCAGCTTGCAAGCTGGAGTAAGACTACCAAAACCCTTGACCAACGAATATACTTTATCAAAAACATCTTGCTCCTCGATGCAAAATAGCTCCTTATCCGTCAAATCGAAGGAAACCCCTTCATTTTCAAAATTTATTAAGCAGTTTGAACAGAATTTGCGTTGGATTTAAACTTAATTACCGATTAAAAAAAAATTAGGGCAAGTCTGTACGGACAAAATTGAAGCTAACCTTTCACGAATTCGTCAAGCTCCGCGGGACGCATTCCGGTAACAGAGATGGATTTAAAAACAGAGAGGCGAATGTAATTGGAGGAGTTGTCTTCATCTTCTTCCTCCAAAGCATGGAGGGTTCGGGGAAATACGAAGACTGGAGCCATTTTTCGCCGACTGAAACTAGGATTCTTGTGCGAATTCTGGTTCTGAGGCTCAATTCAAAACGAGATTCATTATCAGTGAGGAATCGGAAATGAGATTGTGAGAATTCTCTGCAACTTTTGCAGGTTTGAAATGATGAAAAAATAGATGAAAGAGCGGGAGACAACTGACTGAAGTGTCAATTTGAAATATTTCAAATTCGGGTCGGTTTTCAGTATTATACAAACGGGCTGTAGTGACGATGTCCGTTGGTTAGTTCTAATTTAGGGACTTTTTACTGTAATTATTTTAATACGTACTTTCAACATATTGTATAATGAAAATTATGTTTAAATATCCCGTAGAACTTTGACAAATTATATCATGGACCATGGTCCATCTTGCAATGTGAGTCAAGGGGAAGGTATTGCTCACTTTCCCAACTAGCAAGTGATATTCTTTTTTTTTGGTAATTATCTAAAATCTTATCTTTATTACATTTATCTAATTAGAATACTTAAATATTCTCTCTCATCATCTTCATGCTCTTAAATTCTTTGATTTAAAATTAGAACAAACTCACATTCTTAGTCACCTCCATCTCTTTTCCATGCTCTTATATAACTCTTTTAACGCCTATTACAATTATTAAAAATAAATAAAGTTATGAACATCAAAATTAATATATATGAACATTATCCATACATAGTGTAAACATATAATTGCTATAAAATTTAGATTTTGATTACGCATATAAACATGAAACCTATTGTGTATGAACATTGAACTCATAATGTATGAACATATTTAAAAAATGCACATATCTAGTTTCATAGCTGAAAATATATATATATATATATATATATATACAACAAAAATCAAACATTTTCTTTCCATTGATAATTGATTTTGGTGCTATAGATTCAACAATTACCGCTCCAATAGCAAATATGCATATGGTACCAATAATATAATTTTATACTCCCTCCGTCCCATAATTATTGTCCACTTTGCCCAAAACATTTTGTCCCAAAATTATTGTCCAATTTGACTTTTTATGGATCAAGTTACACATTTGTCCTTAGTAAAAAACATTATCCATAAAATCTTAGTGGTTAAAAAATTACTTATGTAGGGGTATATCCGGTTGTTTAAGGTAAAATATAGTTAAATTTGACCAAAAATAAAATCTTTTATTTTAGTAAAACTGGACAATAATTATGAGACGGAGGGAGTAGTTTTTTGTGTTTTTTTTATTCTATGAAAAACAGAACTATAAATATGCTATGCTTCTCTATGAACATTCAATCATAATGGCATGAATTTTATCGATTTTCGTATGAACATAAAACATACTACCTCTGTTTTTTTTATCTGTCATTTTAGGGTGAACCCAAAGTTCTTTTTTATCTGTCGCACTTCATTTTCAATGCAACATTAAATATTATTTTTTTAATTTTACTCTTATCTCTCTCTACTTATAATAACATATATTAATGACAACTACTTACTTTTTAACTTCAATTTCAAATTTTTTAGAGTTCTACTACTTTTAATTAGGGGCAAGAAAGACAATACCCTTATAAATTAAATTCTCAATCATTATTTTCTTAATAATTGTGCAAACCCTAAAGCGACAGATAAAAAAAAACGGAGGTAGTATTGGATATGAACATTAAACACATTCACCAAAACGAACAATACTAAAGGTAAAATATATGAACATTAATACTCGATTGTATGAACATTATACCTTTAAAGAGATACATAATTGCATTGAACTATACCTATAAACAATCAAAAAAATTTGTGTACATACAAAGAATAGCTTATATGAATTATGAAATACAATAACATTGTCCTTTACATATTATACAACTATTTATTGAAATATTTATTCACGTCCTAAACTACTAACCATATAATGAAGCATATGAACTTTTTAAATTATGTACATGAACATTATATATATTTGTATAAACATATGTACAAAAACCAAATAATCCATGAACTTTTACAAACAACAATAAAGAAATTGAAATGTAATCAGATTCAGAATCAAACTTTTTCTTCACATTACGAACAGAAATCATAACTAACATAATTGTTATATTCCTGGGATTAAGATTAGCATTTTCTTACTCCAAACCTTAAATATATTAATCTCCCAATTGAGAAAAAAATAAAACCAACAATAGAATTTTATTGGCAAAAAATATAAAAAATAAATACCAACCTTCTCTGAGCCAGTTTTGTAAAAAAAATCGGCGGCCAATGGCGATGGTGGACAGCGGTTTTGGCCACCTACGGCAATCGCCAAGAATAAGTTGTCAAGACCAAGCGGCGAATTTGGACAACGTTGATGGCAATTAAATTAATCGACGGTCAGCACCCAGTGGCGAAGAAATCGGCTGTCAATTGCAACGTACAAAAATCTCTGGTGTTGCTGACCGTCGACGCACATTGGAGAAGAAGCAGGCCAGCAATTGCAGAGTTCAAGAAACTTTAGCGTCGGTGAAATAGATTTTTAAAATTAGATTGATTATTATTCTGAAAAAAAAATAAATTTTCAAATTAAATGGATAAGAAAGAATTTGAACTGGATAAAATTTAATCTCTATTTGAATTCCAGAATGGATTAGGTTGTTACGGCAATTTGGTTTCATATGTATTTCAAACATAAAAAGTTTATTCCTTATTTACCGGACATAAGCAACGCGCGTGTATAACAACCATGGTCCATTTTCCTATATGGACCATAGTCTATAGGATAATAATTGCGTAGACCTTAGTGCAATTCCTAATGCCATGACTGTCTGTCCAACTTTTGTCTCGTCCAACTTTGGACATCTAACAAAATCTAAATATTAGTAGAGATAGGAATTTAAATAGATGTTTGACTTAAAAAAAAAAAAAAAACTTTTGCTCTCAGTAATCCCAAAGTTAAAATTAGTACTACTTTTTTTTTAAATGAATTGCTCACAATTTTCATCGAAAATAAATTAGTAATAAAGTTAATTCTTGTAATTCTACACGCTTTTCTCAAGCCTTTACTTAATTTAATAGTAACTTAAATCCCTTTAAAAAAAATTAACTCAGAATAAGGATATTAGAACTTTTTAAAATTAATTAATGGTGTTGGAATCACCAAAATTTATTAATTTAAAAAATTATTAAATAATCAATAAATTAATGAATTATTAATTTAAAAAGTTTCCTTAAGGAAAAAGAGCCCCTACTAAATGACCTAAATTTCAATTTTCTTTACCCTCCGAATCAAGCAATTATTGAAACTCTTCTGGATACAAAAATCTATACACGGTTCATATCATTTTCGGTGACTAAAAAACAAGGATCAATAGTTCATATTTTACTAAATATTTTATTTATTTATTTTTATTTAGGGTAACATTAATTGATAGTATTGTGGGGACTAATAGATTTGTATGAAATTTTCAAAAATATTATTATTTCATAAATGTATCAATTTTGATAACTTTTTGTACTCGGCCCAAGTTAGGATGGAAAAAAATCATTAATTTACTTGGACATTTTATTTTTCCCTCTACCTTTTGAAGAGATAAATAAAAGTATCAAAGGCCTCTAAATTATCTTTTTCTACAAGAAAAATGATACACATCTGACCAAATTAATTTATCTCACCTTTTCATCTCACCCTACATGACATTTAGTTATTGGATGAAATTTAATAAGTCAATTAATTATAGATAAACTCTTATAATTTAATTTAATTATTTTTTGGTTAGGTTTAGATAATGTTTGAATATTTTTATATCTAAAATTTTAAATTAAATAGAACCTAACCTCAAAAAAATAAACCCTTTTGGGTAAAGTTATAATAATACGAAATATTATCACTAGGACTAATATTAATAAGAAAAATAATAATTTTTGAATTAATTTATTTAGATGCTAAGTAAGAAATGGATTACCCGTCAATAGATGTCATGTAATGTGAGAAGGAATGGTGAGATGAATTAGGTGAGATGAATATCATCACTCTTTCTACAAATTGAATCTAGGCCTTAATTAATGTTTATCCTTCTCACAAGGCAATAAACCATAGTTGGACCTCATTTTCAAAACCTAAAAAGGCCAAAATGTGAAATGGACTACAGGTTCAAAGTAACTACAGTAAAACATTGGTAAATTAATAATCTATAAATTAATAACTTCTAAAAATTAATAATTTTCTCCGGTCCCAACTTGGGACCAGTACAAAAAGTGAAGAAAATCGATAAAATGATAAGATAATAACTTTTCAGAAAATCTTCTATATATCTATAGGCCCCAATAATATCATAAATTAATAAATAACCTAACAACAAAAACTAATAATAATTACTATAAGTTTTTTTTGTAAAATATGAACTATTAATACTCTTTTTTTAGTCCTGGAAATGGTATGAACTATGTATGAAATTTAAATATTCAGAATAGTTTTAATACTTGATTGATTCGAATGTAAAAACAACTGCAAATTAAGTAATTTAGTGATGATTCTCTTTTTCTTATACAAATTCCTTAAATTAATAATTTATTAATTTATTGATTATTTAATAATTTGCTAAATTAATAAATTTTGATGGTCCCAACAGTATTAATTTACAGAAGTTCTAATGTATCTTTATTTTAGAGCTTAAAACTGGAGAAAATGCTAAAGCTGATTTATCCGATATTGAATTTATGAAATTTATCAAGAATTATTTTGGTTTCTTAAGATATAATTAACAATAAAAATAAAATGGCGAATCCATTTTTTTCACTACATATAACTCTTTGGTACAATAGGAAATTTTACCCTTGGTAATAAGTTCTTTTAATACAATTTTTATTATAAGTCCCCATTAATTTAGATGGAGCCGACTAGATTATACGGTAGGATTTAAACCTTGATCATAGACTCATAGTTACTCTAATGAAATATCTTTAGCATATCGACCAAGTTTTTGTTGATTTATTTATTTTGTGATTTTTACAATTCCTTATTCATTTTGTTCCC